CCTGGCTGGAGAAGATAGGAACCATCTGAGATATTTGGAGGCAACCAAACCAAGGAAAGCTGTCCTAGAGTGACTGGTCCCTGTGCCCTCAATGAGGGAGTCATCTGGTAGAATCCTGTTTCCACACCTTTAAGGATGTGGCTTTTTGGTACATGGATAAGTCCTTGCAGTTTTCTTGGCTAGATTTCAGAAGTGTTTCACCATTGCCTTCCTCCTGGCCAGACAGGGAATGACTGACCCAACTGGCTTTGTGAAATGTCAGAAATGAACAGATAGCTTTACTTTATAAAACACAAAATTTCTCAAAGAAATCTTAGTCATAACGATAAGAACATCTTTTGGGAGGGGTTAGGAAAAGAGAAATGAGAGTACAGCCACGCTTTACTTAATGAACCCAAGTTCCTTAATCTACCCAACATTATGAACCTTAAATTAATCATGGGATTGGATGCCTAATGTGCTAGGCTATAATTTAATGAGTTAGTTTGCAGGTGTGTACACAATTCAAACTCAGACAAAGATCACAAAACAGTCATTTCCACTTCAGTCTTGCTTGTGAAGAGAAACTCAGTAGGTTAAGAGACAAGGTAAATATTCTTTTAGTCTGCATCAATAATCATATAACAAGACATACCAGCAACCTACCAATATTTTCATCAAGAGGTGGTAAATATTAGCCAGGATCAATGCTAATAGAAAGTCTGGAGGAGGAGGAGGAAGCAAGAAGAAAAAGAACAGCAATTCTTTTAAAAGGAACATAAATTACTTCTGCTTCTCTGAGAGATTTTTGCAGTCCTTGTAGGACTTCTGCTTCCATCCAAGCATTTTTACCTTACGGGCTTCTGGTTAATGTTGTGTGTTACAGGCTCAGCTGTGAGTTTCCACCTGGGGAGTCTGGCCCATGCTCTGCATCTTGCTGGTAGCTTCAAGCAGTGCTAAGAAGCCCAGCTGGCTAATGGACATCTTGACCAGGAGACTTGCTTTGGGGCAACATTTCCATGTCACCAATGTTTCTCCTGGGAAATTATGCAAAGATAAACAGATCCCTGAGGCAGAAGCACAAGGCTGGAGTATAAAAAATAATCATTTGGGTTATTTTTGAGATGGAGCAATTAAGGGAAAGGAATTTCATTTTCTCGCACAATGGTGTCTGGACCCAAACAACATATATTTGATACAACTAGCTAGATACTAATTTTATTGTTTGCTTTGAAAAGCAAAATTAAGTCTTGAAAAGCAAAATTAAGTCTTAATCTGAGCTAAAAACCATTGCTTAAGTAGATTGCTTAAATAGATAACTTTGTCAGGACTATATTAAACTGGTTTGGGCCTGGTTATTAGTTGGATGGGGAAACTTGTATGGATTTCCAGGATTGTAGGCTAGATGGAATAGTTAATAAACACCTTACAGTGGTGTTTTCCAATCTTGGAATCTTTAAGCTGTGTGGACTTCAATTCCCAGAATTCCCCAGGCAACATTCCCTAGCTGGGGAATTTTGAAAATGGAAGTCCACACAGCTTAAAGTTGCCAAGGATGAAAACTATGGCCCTGGAGTACGGCAAATGACAAATCACTTCCAAGTTTTGCTAAGAGAGATCAGTAAGCTTCCACATTAACAAAGCAGATGCTGAATTCAACTGGAAATAATTTTAACTTTATGTCAGGCTTTTTCAAGCATTTCCTTAACATCTTTTCAGTTCTTTCCGACTCTACAATGCTATGATTCCAGATCTCAAGCCATCAAACTCTTATTCTGGAACAGGCTAACCAGCAGACGTCTCACAAACACGTTTGGCTAATATAGTTTCTTTACTGCAACAAGAATGAAGGCCCAGGCATACAAAAGATCTGCCTAATTCAGAAAACAAATCAAAGTCAAAATATATCTTTGCTCCAGAATTTAAATTCTAAGCATTTTTCTTCCAACTTTCTGAGTTGGATATTTATTTACTGATATTCAGTCTTTTCATGGCCTTAAGACTAGGAGCTCCTGCTGAGTTCTGGCATACAATTCTGTCTGTCTGGCTTGTGAATCACTGCTTCCCTTCTCATCAGCCTCATTTCTGGTAGATTAAAACAGGGGACCTCAATCTCCAGGCTGTGGAATGATAGCAGGCTGTGGTCTGTTAGGAACTGGGCCATGCAAGCAAACAAAGCTTCATCTGCACATGCTCAGGATCTAGGTAGTGCACGAAATGCCCTCCCTTGCAAGGAATCCCCCCCAGGACCGGTCCCCTGGTGCCCAAAAGGTTGGGGACTGCTGAATTAAAAGATGCTGAAGAGGCAAGGAAGAGAAGTGGATGAATCAGAAACAAAATGAAAATAGCAAAATGGATGCAAGATTCACTGCCAATAGACTATTCTTAACATTGCAGTCCAAATGGACTTTGGATCTCTGCAGATCTTTTGCATTAAGTAAGATCCCCTCACTCTTATTACTGATTAAGTTGGCATGCATTTTAGAGCAAAAAAAAAAAAGCCAGAGATTTCAACTGAATCAAAATATTTTGGGATATGTCTCAACATGCAGATTTTCAGCCCCTGCTAATAAAGATAATTTGGTATAGGTGAAATATAATATGGAACTCACATTGTCTATAATCCAATGCTTCTGGCAACACCATTATTTCCATATAGTTGAACAATCATCTTGACGATTACTTTTATACAGTACAGATACAATTTCACACTTTGTGAGGGCAGAGTTCAGGTGACAGAACCTGACACTCAGGCTATCCCTTGTAATGGCACCATTTCTATATAGGTATATAACTATGCATAAGTATCCTTTAGAAAGTATAGAGATGATCAATCTCCTACAAATGAAAGGACACATGTCACAACTCTTTAATAGAAGTGAACTCTCTGCCATCTTCTGGATCTTTTTATTGCTGGTTTCTGATAATCTGGCTAAAAGCAAAATTGGCTATGAAGTTCCTTCACTGAGCTTAAAGTCTAACAGAGCTAATTAAGTTTATATCTATCTCAAGAAGTTTGTTCCATCTATGTCGTAGCAGACTAAGACATTAATTGTGGCATAAGAGCTTAGATGGTTAAAAATATGCTTAAGATGGTGTTCCCATCCTATGCCAAGCTTTCACCATTGGCAGAATTGCCATTTTTAAAGGCCGCATTGGGTAGGACTCAGGGGTGGGATTCAAATTTTTTAACAACTGGTTCTGTGGGTGTGGCTTAGTTGGTGGGCATGACTTGGTGGTCATGTTATTGGCTTGTCATGGCCAACTCAATATCACACGCATCTCCTTGCCTGGCCTCTCATGACTGTGGGGAAGCTGCAACAGTCGTAAGTGTGAAAAATGGTCATAAGTCACTTTTTTCAGTGCCATTGTAACTTTGAATGGTCATTCCACACAAGCAAAGTACCAGCAAAGGAGGGAAAAATAACTCCAGAGAGGTTCCTGAGACAGGAAGTCTAGTCCTGCCAAGAATGTAATAAGGGTTAACGGAGAGGCAGTTTCTGTAAGCAACACCAGAATGAGAATTCATACAAACTTGTAGAAAGAAGCCTATTTAAATTGATCAATACCACATCTGAGACCAATCTGAGGGATTATACTTCTAGAATGCTTGAGCTCCTGAAACATCTATTTAAGTGCCTAGAATTGTTAATATTGAAACCCATAAATACATTAGCTCCTCTTAAAATGAAAGTCCATCCTTTTTTAGAAATACAAAGAACTGAACTTTTCAAGTCACCCAACATGGAAACATCATGGGAAGATAAATGTGTTGTTGTGTGGTGGGAAACAAATCTGGCACTATCTTATCTGACTAGCAAATTTAAATTTAAACTCCAGCATCAGTCTATCTGCTTTATGTTTCTAACGAATTTTAGTAAATACATCTTTTATTAAAATTTGTTAGAAAACTGCTACCAAATTCCTGTGCCACACAAACACATTTAGGGTAGAAATGGCAAACACCTATTTGTTGTTTTCTGGAACTGGCCAAATATAACTAACTTCTATCTAGCAAGGCACTCTTTCTCCTTTTAAGGATTACTAGTTTCTTTTTAAGTGGTTACAATTCAGAGCTACTTGTGAATGCAGTTGCTAAGCCAGGGCACATTTCTGAGAAAAGAGGAATCCCTGGATTGTCAGGCACTTCCTCAACTATGAGGGGGGAAAAAAAACCCAACTCCAGCAATTTCTCAGGCCAGAAAGGGGCCATGAGGGGGGGGGGTGTTATTAAAACTATGCCAAAGGCAGAAAGGAGATTGGCAAGTCCTTTTTCCCCCTCTTTGTAATTTATATTGAAGAGAGAAAAACTCCAGGCTATTCCTAAAGCAGGATTCGCTGAAATTAGCCCAAAGCAAAAAAAACCTTACTAGGTATGCATAGTTCTTCCACGACTCTATACGCCCCAAGCCTTATGATAAGGCTTATCAACCTAAGTTGCACGTCTTTGTAGTTGTTCAGAGGGAGGAAGGTGGGCGACAATGAGGACTTCACAATCCAACCACTTTTAAGAGCACTCCCTGTTCCCATTTTCGGGGAGCAACAGGTGGCTTCTCTTCAGCCAGTTACAGCAAATGGTGTCGGGGGAAGAGGCTAATAACGGATACATTTTAGGGGAATGTTTTGGTGGTTAGCGTCTAACCGAGACAGAGCAAGTCAGCAGGCGAGGCTGGAATTAAAACCGATCAAATCCAGCCTCCCCTCCCGCTATGACGCAGGAGGCACGTGCGACCCAAAATCCTAAAGGCAATTAAATTAAGAAAGGGAAGATCTATAGAGGACCGTCGAAGGAAGAAAAAAAGAATTAAAGCCAATTTAATTTCTCCGCCAATTATCCTCCCCCCTCCCGCCCAAAATCCCAGGGTTTTTCATCACGGCTGGCTGGCTTACAGAATTTGCCTGAGACAACTCGAGCATGCTTGTCCTCTCCCTCCTCGCGTGCCTCTACACGGATGGGCGCACATCCCCACGCCGCGTGGCCTAAGGCAGCAGCGCCTTTGCTCGTGGCACGGCATCCTTACCTTGCTCTCCTCCTCGTCGTCTTCCTCCTCCTCGTCCTCCTCCTCCTCTTGCTCTTCTAAAGCCACCGGAGCAGCAACGACCGCGTCCCACTCCGCTTGATCGGGCACCTTCCGCTCCACTTGAACGTGACTCCGCTGTTCTGCTTTCACCGGCTCCGGGGCAGCCTTGTCCTCGACCTCCTCCTCTTTTCCCTTCTCCCGAAGCCGTTCTTCCTTTCCTTCGTTCGTCCCCACCTCTTCAGCCCCAATTTCTTCCACGGCGTCTCTTCCAGCTTCTCTGCTTATTACCGCCTCCTTCTCCTCCTCCTCCTCCTCTCCTCTCTCCTTCCGAGGCTCCACTCCGGCCGCCTCCGGTTCCTTCTCATCCTTCTGGAGTGCTTCGCCGTCCGTCCGGTCTACCGCAGCAGCGCTCGCCTTGGCCTCCCCTTCTTCCTTTGCCGCCGCTGGCTCGGTAGCTTTGTCCTCTTCCGAGGATCTTAGCTTGACAAAGACTGACGCTAGAATAACAGCCAGGACCGTGAAAAGCAGCGGGACTGCAATGTATAAGTCCACCGCTACATCCATTTCTCCGGCGGCTGTGCGATCCGACAGCACTGAGGAGCTGAGATGGCGAGTCGTCGCCCTCTCGCGCTTTTCCCCTCCTCCTCTTTTTGCCGCCGCCGGGCAACTGAGCAGCTGGGCTGAATTCAGCTGCCTGAAAGCGGCGGTCGGTTAAATCCCTTCTCTTCTGAAGCCGAAAGCGGGATAGGTTTTCACAACACCCGCGTCATTTGGCCGGAGCCCGCCCCCCTCTGCTTCTGGTGCCACTCCCGGCAAGCCGAGGCTGCCGGGATGGCCATTCCCTTTTATGAGTCTTAACACGGGGAAAAGGAAGGAGAGAGACCAAAGGAAGGAAGGAAGGAAGGAAAGGAGGGAGGGAAGAAAAGGCAGCGCTGTTTTCAGAGGAGTAGCCCTTTTCATCGAATATTGGATCGTGTAAACTTCCCAGCAAAATATTGAGAGTTGGATTGCGCTTGGTGCTAGACCATAAACCGTGGTTTATATATCACTCTGCAGCAAACCAAACCAAACTTTTTTTTTTTTTGGCTCAGGGTAATCCAGCCTCCCTGATCATTGTATTAGAAAGTAAACTCTCGTTTCTCTTCCTTTATATTTCAAATGTATAAGCCATCCAATTCATAGCAGCAATCAATACAACATAGATAATCCTAGAAATCAATATACCAATTAATACAATTCCCATAATAGACATATCTTAAATTAGCACCTCGGGCAAATATTTGTTCTTTAGGACGGCAGGATGGGGTGACCCAAACTTCAGTGTGGGGCGTGTCCTTTTCCAGAGGATAGACTCCATGACGGAGAAGGAATGACATCCAAGTCCCATCAGATGACCTTATTTTAAGAATAAGATTTATCAATAGTGCAGTTTGAGCAGCATAGGCATTGAGATACGCTCGTGTTTGTGCTGCTACAATCTGGATCAGCTCTAGCTCGAATAATTGTCAAAGGCAGCCACATATGGAATACATTTCAACTGTTGTTGATGTGAGGTAATTGAAGCATGAGTGACTGTGGGAAGAATCATCCAATGTAGGAATGGCTCCAGTTGGCACAGTTGGAACCTTTCTGCTCATAGTTGCCACCTGCTTATGGAGCTTGCATGCTGTATCTGTCTGGGGGAGAACAAACTCATCCAGAGATGAAAGTGGAAAGTCCTTGGTGTTGGGAGAATCCAAAATACATAATCACCCAGTCTTGTCAGGGTTGTCCTTTAACTGTTCCTCCCCAGTCAGGCCCCACCCTCTTCAAGAGAAGATTTTGAAGGCATTAATTGGTTAGCCTGTTATTCAGTTGAGTATCATCAGCATGTTATTTGACCCCTGGCCAGTGGATGAATTCACCCAGTAGCTTCATATAGATGTTCTCTCAACAGCATCAAGCCTTTGAAATCTCATACATCAGGAAACTTCTTTCCCCAGCAATACCAGTTGGAACCAGCCATGAAGGGGAACCACTGTGCCTCCTAATCCTTGCTTTGGTCTAGACCAGGGCTGTCAAACTCCCAGCTGTGGGCCAGATGCATCACATGCTGACCATGCAGAGTTTAGCGAAGGGGGTGGTGGTCCCAATGCATCACGTGATGCTGCCATGATGATGGGGATTTGACAGCCCTGGTCTAGGCAGATAGCATGATTGATGGTACTGAAGGCTGCTGAGAAGAACCAGAAAACTGATGATCAGTGCCACTTCTGTGCTGTATCCTGGCCTGAAATCCAACCCAAAAGGATTCAAATAATCCACTTCCCCTAAGGCCTTTTGAAGCTCAACCTCACATCCTAAAAAGGATGGACATTGGAGACTGGATGAGTATTATCCCGCACTGTTGGGTCTAGTGATGGTTTAAGAGGGTGTGAGCCACTTGTTTCCCCGTTAGGGCAGGCACTCATGGATGCACTAATCACAGCATCCAGGATCTGGTGCAAAAGAGGAAGATATCAAGGTGACTGGGATTTGCTTCTTTTGTTTAGTACCAGGGGTGCAATTCAACCGGTGTAACAACCAGTTCAGTGAGTGTGCGTTTTGCACTTGGGCAGAGTTTGCAAAATGCTGCTTCTTCAGCTCTAAAACTTACCTTCTGCTGCATTCCCTGTGAGTTAATCAGCTGAGCATCAATCCGCTGTGCTGTACCAAACAGCTAAGCTGAAAACCCCAGAAATAAAAGGACAGAATAGGGGCAGGTGGGTGGGGCCAAATTGTCACTGCAACTACTGGTTCACCTGAATCAGGCCGAACTGGTAGAATTCCCCCCCCCCAGTACCTGTTTTCTACTTAAAATAATGTGGTGCTTTATGCTGCAGCTGCAGAGGCAGCTTATGGAACTTGCTGATTCACTAATATAATTGATGACAAGGGCTAAAATCATGAACTTTTAGAGAATTACTAGGCAGGTTGGAATGTTAGAAGTCTTCGCCACTGAGTGCTTGAAGGTATATAATGTATATTTTGTGAGATTATTTTGTATGATTGTTAGCCAAGGGGAAAGACCATCATCAGTAATATGGAGTGAGGTAAGCAAGCTATCTGGTAGTGCAGCTACTGCATTTTATTAAGAGTCAAACACACCTGAACTACATTCTTAATCACAAGTTTGAAGGCACAAATTGTGTTTTCTAAGCTCAGTTGTTAAAGATGCTGAGCTGGAAAGCTGACAGCCCGAGTTTGAGACTTGAGCACTGTGCAAATGTGAACTCACATTGCTTGCCCCACCTTCTGCCAACCTAGCAGTTCAAAAGCATGCAAACGACTAGCTATCACTATCACGTACCTATTTCCCTGTGCCTAAGTATATATAGGCACATGATCACATAAGCATCTTTGGACAATGCTGGCTTCCGCTGCGAAGAGGCTGAGATGAGCATCGCCTTCCAGTCAGACACAGCTGGACAGGGGAAACCTTTACTTTTAAAACAAGACTTAATTCTCAATAACCACAAGCACCAGCAATGATTTCACAAAGGTCACTTTTAAAATATTGGTTCTGGACTACATTTCATTTTCTGAAACTGAACTACATTTCATTTTCAGCTGATTTTAATTTAGCAAGGTCTCAGGTTAGAAACTTAATTAATGTTGCTTGAAGTAGATGTTGGCAATTTTTCTCTTTGAAAAAACTTTTTTCTTGCATTATTGTGTTTTATTCAAACTAAAGCTTCCTGTAATCCAGATTTCTCCATTTCTGAATTTTAAGATGTTCTTTTTAGATACTGCATTTCCACCTCTTGTAACATACCACAGAACCCTTCAAAGTTTCTCTCTATTGCATCTTGAGTAGCTGATATTCACAGGATATTACTAACAGGTATTATCCTGTTGTTTACTAGATTATAGCTAAGCATGTACTGTATTTAGCAGTGTCCATGCCTATTCTGAAGTAGTTGTTCACCTTCACATATGAAATTCAGCACATTCTGAACTTCTATATTAGTAACAAAAGGCTCCCTTCCTCATATTGCAGCTTATCTAGTATTCCAGTTTCTTAAATTTTTTTGACTACTTATCATATAAAATGAAATTTAAATCAAAATATGTTAAATAATAGAAGACTTTTATTTTCTTTAATCATCAAACAAATAAAATTCAGAGCATTGCTGGCTCCACGCTTAGGATGGATTTCAATACAAATCAGTTAGTTGGGCTTCATTTTTAGAAGTGCCAAAAAGATTTATGTCTTGGTAAAATATGAATTAAGATCTATGGAAAAGTCTAGGGTAAATTGACTCAATATAACAAACTAGTTGCTCAGAACATGTATTCTTTAAAAGAGAAAATAAAGTGGCATTAATGATCAACTAGAAATCAACTTAACATTACAAAAGCTACTGTTCAAAAGAAGACAACAAAAGCTCATCTTAGTGTTTAGTTGAAATACATTGTTCAGAAGACCTCCTTATAACTTGGTAAACTGGCTTTAGGTTTAATAGGAGAAAAATATAGAAGAAAAAGCACAAGTAAACCAAAGTAATCACTACATAAAGTTATTATTGTTAGTACTGGAGGTAAATTCTAATTTAAGTTTCATGTTCAAAAGTATGTCCAATTTTATAAATAAAATTTAATTCTTTTTTAAAAGAATGAATAACCAAGTTTATCAATTGGGAATCTGAAATATAAAATGTAACAAGAAGCAAATAGCTGTTATAAATAAACCATTATTATTAAAAATATTTAAACTTATGCCATTCCACTACTGTCTATGGCTACTGTTGCTAAGAATGCCATTATTAGTAACTTTTCGTGCAAACGGAACAAAAAAGCTTCAGGTTTATTTCTGTTTTGAAAAATCAGATTCCATCATATAGGAAACACCACAAATGGAGGCTTCTTTTCTATCAGTCAATGCTCATTTCCTTCTTTCATATTAACTTCCTGATTAAAACCAAAATAGTCTATGACTGAATAGATTTATCTGATTCCTTTTGTCACAAATATACCAGATTTCTAGTCAAAGGAAGTGTTCCTGCTTGCCTGTGTGCAAGGAACCTGCAAATTGAACATTTAATGAATCCAAGCCATCGTTCATTGTATCAAGGTCTACTCAAACAAGATTTAATTGTATTCAGAAACATAATGGGCTGTTCCAGAATGTCCTGTCTAAAAAGTAAATTCCGTTTGCAGAGTGAAACAAGGTTTTAAAATGTGGTTCCTACTAACTAGAGGGAAAGTACGAGAGAGAAGGAAGCAATTTTTGAAAATTTTGTAAACTACTCCTTACTACAGTAGCATTTGAAATATCTCTTCATAGGGAACATTCAACTATAATTGGCACTCCTCCCACATCCTAACTCTGGACAGGAGTCAGTTAATAAATGGCCATGCATGAGCTGATTTCACATTCCACCATCCACTAAATATGGATTTTCTTAGGCATCTTCATTTTTATGTAGAATAGAATTAAATAACCTCCACTACATACCTTGAAATGTAAGAAAATTTCAACAATCACTTATTGCATTCTTAAGGATGATCAGTGTACAGAATATTTTCATTATGCCGTCTCTAAACTTTTTAATTTGGAATGGGATTATCTTCATAAATGGAGATATAAGCTCACCTCAGAACAGAATACCAGTCTGTTACCAACAAAAGTGCCATTGAAACAGCAGCACATCCTGAAATAATCCAGCTGTCATGACAGACATACAACCACATTATTCAGGACAGAATACACACACCTTAAATATCTACACCACCAGAATAGTAGATAACAGTATAAAGTTTGTAGGCTCCCAAAAAGCAGTTCCTCGTTAAATAGATATTTTATTTATATTTATTCAGATTCTACCCACTCCTTTTAGGAAAAAAAATCTTTCTACCTTCATGTTTCCAGAAATTCCCACAGGGAGAGATAAATGAGGCAGCTAGTTTCTCCCATCTCCATTTGTTTTGGGCTTATATTTCCAAAGTGGCTGCAAGTATCTGCAGTTTTTTTTTAATTAAAATATAAAAAAACAAAGCAATGATGATGAACTACTGGTTCAAACAATACTTTTGTAAGAGTCTCATTTAGTCCATGGTAGGCTTGATGTTACCGATATATTCAGAATTATAAAAGGTGCTTTTACATGTAATAATTTATACAATAGGAGAATCATCTTGGTTCACTTGTGCTATAATGAAGGAGCTGCTGGCCAATTGCAGACTAACGGTTGTATGTCTGACCCCAGTTGTTAATGCACTAGAATTCATCTTGTAAACATATGACAATATTGGAGCAGGGTTTGTTTTAAAAGACAGTTTTGTTAATAGAAATTTGCCATTTCCTTTGTTGACTGTACAGTGTTGGAAACCATAGTATGACTTTACAGATATCAGCAATGCCTTCCATTTATTACCGTTGTCTGGGGAAAAGTTTGAACAAATAGAAATCTTGAGTGTTCTCCTTTAGTTAGCAAGACGTCAGACTTTGATAACAGGGAACAGAAGTTAAAAGTTTAGATTTAAAATTAAAAATGGAGAGGGGAAGTCCTCAAAAAGCTTCAAGTATACAGCTGGTGGGAGGAACAGAAGACATCTGGCTGGTTGCAACTATCTGCAGAAGGTCTTGTTATCTTTCATGGATGAGCACGACTTCCACAAGATTCCCTAATTCTGTCAAACATAAAAATAAAAATATTTGTCATGGCAAGTTTCTTGTAACTTATGCAAGTAACAATACAGACTTTCCTTGGAAAACTATGCATCTTAGATTTCTTGTATATAATCCTATTTTCTTTAACATCAAAGGAATCTCTTTCACTGTGACAACAAATGAAATTAGAAGGAACTAGGGAAAGAGCCTTTGATCATTCAATATTTGGTGAGAATTTAGATGCAAAAAATTAAGAGAGGTGAGATATTTACCGAGATTTTGTCCACAGAATATAAGGTCTATATAAATTCAGGATTTTCTCTTAAGCAAAAGCTAGTGGGCCTAGTGTTCATTAACCATATTTGATTTATTTGATTTATAAAGAATGATCTAAAAAAAAAGACGGTGCTACTTTCCTATGTGATCTTGTCAGCTGCTTTCAGTCATTTAGTAACCCAACCATGAACTCCCAGAAATATCAACATATACAGTTTTAAAAAGGAAGATCTAATATAAACAATAATCTTTGATAGAATATAGTTACCCTGGAGGTATTTAAGGTAACAACAATACAGACAATTAACTATAGAAGACATTACATTATATAATTGCACACTAAATTCTTATTCCTCCATTGCTAATTGTAGCATTTACAAGTGCAACATTTGATCCAATACCTCAACATCAGCATTTTCAATTGTGGGCATTCTGTTTATGTGAAGAGAATAGTTTGACAAAAGACTTAGAATTAATGAGTGAAGAAGAGTCCTCCTGGGGACATTTGATAAATAGAAAAAAATCAGTTTAGAGCATTAGAAATGGGATATCTGGTTACATATAAGGGGATAAGCTTTGTTCTTTATGGATATTCCTGATTATTCTCTGACTGCAATCTACTTTAGTTCACAGCTATAGATTTCAGTAACTTTTATCACTGGTTGGTAAGAATGAGTATTTTGATTTAATACCTGGAGGAGCTACGCTCTTTGCTCACACAGTCATCATGAGAGGTAGTATCACCGTTTCCCATCATGCTGCACGTTCTTCGCTTTTTTCTTCGATGCACCATTCCTTCAGTTTCAGAGCTAGAATCGCACTAAACAAGAAATAAGTGGTGAATTTCAAAACTGCAATTTCTATAAGGCTTCATCGGAAAAAGAAGCTATGACATTTGAGTTCTAGTACAACTAGTCCTCACTTTAACAGTCCATAATTGGGATAAGCAACTGTCATTAAATGAAGTGTCATGTGACTGTTCCACTTAGTAATGGCAGTTTTGGCAATCCCAGATGCTGTTATCCAATGAATCCCATAGTCATTAAGTGAGGACTCACCAGATCCAAACCATTCTTGGAAAAGGGTTAGGGATGGCCTCCACTTAAACTCTCCCAATCCACCTATCTCCCCTCTCATCTCTGTCTATTTGGCTGCCCATCCACCCTACTGTCACTAGCCCCACCTGGCCACACTGCACATCGCTACTCTACATGAACAGAGGTTCTGGCAAAGGCTCTGGAGCAAAAGAAGGCCCTGACTGGTACAGCAGTGGCACATGGTGCGGTGGTGAGCAGAGCCAGGTGGTGGTAGTTAAGTTGGCAGGCAGCCAAAAGACAGTCGTGGTTGGCATTGCAATGGCTAGAATTTTAAGGACCAATTGTTTCTTTGTTCAGCACCACTGTAACTTTGAGGATTGCTGAACAAATGGATGTTAAGCAAGGACTATTTGTATGTTCTACCCTATCCAGAAACAAAACAGGGATGGTAGAAAATCCTTCATGGATAATCAGTAGCTTTCTCTTGCTAGGGTTTAGTTTGTGCCTGTTCTCTTCCATCCAAAATCACACAATCTTCAGGCTATGAGAGGACTTCAACAGAGTCTCTGACCTGGAATTACAATATTCAGTTAAGTATCATCATCGTACTGATAATTCTGGACTCCAAATCGTTGGATGATTTCACCCAGCAGCTTCATGCAGATGTTAAATAACAGGAGAAAAATTACCTGAGTGGCACTCCACAAGAGAGCAACCACAGTGCTATTCTCTCCTTTGCAACTACCATCAATTGCAACTACAAAGGAAGCAGCAGAACTACTGCAAAACAATGCCTCCAATCCCCATACTCCATCTACACCATGGACAATTAAACTGAAGGCTGTTAAAAGATCCAAAAGGACCAGAACCAGCAAACTATCCATGTGCAGGTACTGATGTAATTCATCAACAGAGCAACCAATGCCAACTCTACCCATTGCCAGAGTGTGAACCCTGAAACCAAGTCCATTTATTCTTCAGTACTCAGTAGTTGATCCCAAACACCTTTGGGATCAACTGTCTCAACACCTTTCGCCACAAAAAGAAGGTTGGAGATCGAAGATAATTATCTAAGACCACTAGATCCAGAGAAGACCCCCTAAGGAGGAGATGACTAATGCCTCCTTAAAGGCTGCTGGCATCAAAGCTCCTGCAAAGAGATGTTCACAGTTTCCCAGGTCTACAGAATTAACCATTATCAGTATGATGATGATACTTAACTGAATATTGTGACTCCAGGTCAGAGACTCTGTTGAATTCCTGCCATAGCCTGAAGGTTGTGTGATTTTGGATGGAAGAGAACAGGCACAAACTAAACCCTAGCAAGAGAAAGCTACTGATTATCCATGAAGGATTTTCTACCATCCCTGTTTTGTTTCTGGATGGGATAGAACATACAAATAGTCCTTGCTTAACATCCATTTGTTCAGCAATCCTCAAAGTTACAGTGGTGCTGAACAAAGAAACCGATACACAAAGAGCCAGGATAAGCAAGCATTCAGTTCACAATGGTTCAGGACATTATAGAGAGAATTCTATTCACTTTGTTGGAAGTAATAGGATGAAAAGAAACCCAGGCAACTTGCCAAGATAGTCCAGATTAGAGGGAATTTGAGGCAACTATGCTGCAAAGTGCAAGCAACCTAGTCACAACAAACAGCAGAATGGCCTTTACCTAAAAGGGAGGTGGACATCTGGAAAAGGGTTGTTGAATGTAAACAGCAATGCAGTAAGAGAGGAGACAGTATCAACTCGTAAATCATTCCTATGCCTGTTTCTGAGTTGCCATGAGGAAGAAGGAGGGAAAGGGCCTGAGGGAGCAGTGTGACAGATGAAGGCCAGAAGCACACTCCACACTTATCTTGTGGAGATTGTAGCCTAGGCTACTGGAATCTTCTGCCCAAGAAAATCCTTTACTGGAGAGTGTGATTGATGACACCCAGCCCAAACGTTTCCTTGGAGAATCTGATGTATGATACACCCAAGGGAATGGGGGGAAACAGGGTCATAGATGATAGTAAATTTTGTGTCTCAGAGTTGGCTTCATACAGGTTGATGCTGGACATGTTGCTCCTAATATATCTTTTGGATTCTTTTGAAGCTTGGCTCCAGGATGATTTAATTAGGGCAATCTCCCAGAATCCTGACAGCAAGCCAATTATATTATGCCTGTCCATAACCAAGTTGTAGATGTCTTCTTATAAAAGAGCTGGCCTTAACCGTACCAATTTAAAACCAGCTGCCTCAATTAAGCCCCCAAGTAGAAGCAGCCAAAATGAAATAAAGGCTCACCAACATACTGTAAGCCTCTTTTCCCAACTTTAATTATAATACACAATCACTCTTTTGTGGTCTGTCAATGGTTTACTATAGGGGGGATGAAACACACCACTTGGAGGGGGTCATAACAGAAGTATGAATGCCATTCAGTTTGTCTCCCTAATGTTTCTTCTGAATATGCTAATTGGCAGTACCATTGGCAGAAGCAGTGTTTGCAACATCATTTGAAATGGACAACATAGATCTTTCAAGGTACTGTCTTCCAGTACCACATGGGACGGGAAGATCCTTCTCAGGATTTTCTTAGATTCAATTAATAATGTCATTGATTTTGGTTGAGAACCTTACCTCTCCTCTCTTATGGACAGTTTTGATTTTTGTTGTTTTTATTTACATCTATAGCTTGGGTTAAGTAGCAGGTGTCAATTAGTTCTCATGTAGGTGTTATCTGCAGCAGCCCAGCCCTTACCTCTGAATCAGAATCTGAAGAACTGGAGCTGGAAGAACTAGATGAATCACTAGAACTGTCTGAAGCAATGCCCGTTGATTCTTGTAAGTCAACAGAATCAGCTAGTACAGCTAGTTCAGGATGTTCCTGCTTGAGGACCCTTGGGGTGTGTAAATAAAAAGGATAAAAGCGTTATGTTTTAAAGAGATGAAAGAGTACAACATATCTTACTCTTTCTCCATAGGCCACTCAAAACATTTTTTCAACATAACAATATATAAGTAAAATATGCCCTGCTCTTCTCTTCAAGCAATAAATTAAAAAGTAGTGACTTAGTAAAAGCTAATAAACTGGGGCATAAAATCTTTGTTATCCAAGAAAAGAAGAAACAGTTGTCTCAAAAATGTTTGCTTTAGCAGATCATCATCCATCTCAGGGCAGTTTTGCTTGAGACTTTCCCAAGTCTTCTTCCCAGACATCTGCCCAGTTAGATGGCAGGTTACTCTGCTCTCTCAAAATTCAGCTTTTACTGTCCATTTTTATTGATTTAGGAAGCAAAATATTTCACTGGTGAAATCAGCTAGGTTTTTGTTTTTCATATCATCCTCATTTCAGGTCATTTTTAAAGGGTTTTCCTACGTGTTTAACTGGCATTAAGCCCACCCATACCCACCCAGGAATTGGCATTTGCACACAACATATAGAATATCAAACTACTACAGCTATAAAATATTATGTATCTCAGGTAGCTAAGTGAAATCAGTAGTGGGATGTACAAATTCTCTGTTCTTAAAATGTGATCCAAATTAATCCAACAGCAAAATAGGCTATTTATTCTTAAAAGTAGGAAACTGCTTACCAAAAATATAACAAGAGTGGGCTATTGCCTGCATGGACTTATTGGATCTGTTGGTTTCCCAAAGACCAGGTGACAAATTGTTATGGGACTATAATACCTAAACCTTTGGTTTGATCCAGCAATGCTTAGTAGGATACGAAAAACTATTCCTCTGCGAAAGTTTAGAAATCCTGGAGCTGGGATGCATTTATATTCACAGTAAAGTTAAATTAATTTTATTAATTTAACTAAAACATTAAAATAACTTTAATCAGTAGTCACTTTAATATTACTTTTGTGCTTAATAATTGAGTGATCAAACAGTCTCAGCCTTAAAACTATAACTTTTAAATATATAGTTGAGTCACCTTAATGAATCTTGAAATCCAGAAGCCTAATTCTTCTTCTGGACTCCATGGACCATGTTGCTATTACAAGCCAGACTGTCCAGAAAGTCTTTCCAAAATGCAAAAAACTTAATTAGATTTACATTTCACATATTACATTAAGCATTATTCCAGGTGTCTGCATTGCTCTAGGAAGCAACAACTGGCTTATCCAACCAGCACCTGGGAAATCATTGAAGTAACATTGATGTCTCTCACCTGTACCATTTTCTGGATAACTTTGGTCTTCCCCTTACTGTCTTGTGCCACACCACAGGGAAGTTTGTACAGCTGGCAAAATTCTGAGTGACAGCAATAGTCGTGTCAAGATTGAGAACAACATGCCACCAGCCACCTACAAATGCAACACTGTAGAAGCTTATGATCATCAACAGAAGAAAATATGTAAATCATTGTTTTAACTGTAACTGTGCAATCAATAAATAGCTTGTTTGCTTTACATGTTTTCTTTGTAATACATCCCAAAGGTCTGATTATCAATAGCAACTAATTGTTTCTTAAATTTCCAATACAAGTTCACAAATTTTCCATATATTGTAGAGAATGTAGAATTGGGCGGAGAATGGAAAGGGGGGGGGAGTCTTTTTTTGCAAAAGCTGTCAAGTTTGTGCAAAACTAATAGACCCAGGCTGAAATTATCTGCATAGAAAGGGGACTATATGATACAACTTTTTCCACCTGTGCTTATCAGGTGACTGAATTCTCTAGACAGTGGGACTTGGGAATTGAGACTAGGGAATATATATATAAATACAGGTTGAGTCCCCCAGTCCCCTTAAGGATTTTAGCTCAGGAAGCAGGTCATAGAAAAGAAACAGCAGACAAGAACAAATGGTTGAAATATCAGAAATTATTGGAAAATCAAGGGGAGTGAAAGAAGATTATGATGTAAATTTAGAGAGAGAGAAGTTAAAATATAGTTGTGCTTGTAACTACAGTGAAGACTATAGGAAGCCACTTTGTCTCTTTGATTTTTCTTTGTCTCCTTATTTCTTATTCTTAATAATTATTTCTTATTATTATATTAGTTTGCATAATTTATATCTTTTTTAAAAAAGTTTCAGTAAAAATTACATACAAATTACTTTTCTAAACAGTAGATCAAAATATTCATAGGGTATATTACACTTTTGTCTGATGAAATTGGTTAAAATCACATATCACTAAATTTTCCAGCTTTTAAGTATCTCTAACAGATAATGCCAGTGAAAAATTTGGTGCTGGAATAGTCTGAGTTTAAATAAAGGTGGAATATTTCTGAGCAGGCAACATAATTTCATTTTTAATATGAGCCAGTGTGTTCACAGTAAAAAAAAGACAATAAAAGTTATCTTATTTTATTAAAGCACTATTAAAATATAAATATAAGGTAAGCAAGCAGCTAACATAGAACCCGATTGAAATGCACAGTTTCTTGTGAAATGAAAATATCATGCATCACTCTAGACATTATTAAACCACGACAAATCATTCAGTTTTAAGCTGAAAATGTGTGCCTGCCCAAAATTGCTCAATGAACTGTCCTGGGTAAGAGTGGATTTGAGCCTGAGTCTCCCTGGTATCATACCAACATCATGATGATTACAGCATGTTTTAGTAAGTACATTTATTTAATCAGATTGACCATAGGGACTTTATTTCCATTTCATGAAACTCTGAAATGACAAGGAAATTACTTCTCCCAACTATGTAAAAGACATCCTAAAATGAACATCTACTTTGTACATGTAGCTGTATTGAGGCATTGAAGTAACTGATTTTAAGAAGTTATTTAAAAACGATCACCCTGTCAATCCTCTGATTGCACTAATTAAGGTGTCTGTCACTCAGAAGACATTATTCATGGATTCATTCACCATAACTTCTATAACATTCTCATTTAGAGCAGGGGTGTCAAACTCACAGCCCAGATGCATCACACGCACCCCCACTTTAGCAAAGGGGAAACATCACGTGGCAACGTAACGATGCAAGTTTGACACCCCTGGTTTAGAGCATCCCTATTTCAGTTTCTTTTCTGAACAACTCGCTTTATATTAGGTTTCCTTTATGTTCATTATACTATTGGATATATAAAGAGAAGCCTTTGTAGCTTTTCTAGACTGTTTGATTTTAAGGAATGACAGGTGTGTTCAAAGGCTTAGGGATCTTCATAAAAAGATTATCTATTCTACAGGAGAGGTAGACAATCTTTGATCACTTCTTGTGAATTAAATTAGAGAAGAAATCCTAAGGTTTACAGTAAGCAATGATTAATATATAGCTTGCCTCCTAAGACAATGGTGCTCTTAAGCTTATGGTCTTCCAAAGGCTAATGAAATCCTGGGTCTTTTAGAAGGGCTTTGGAGATTAAGTGTACACATTTTTTGTCACCAGACTGATCTCTGATGCATTATGATACCATATTATATGAGCTTGTTAGAGACATAGTAAAAAAATGAAAAAAAAATTATAGTCCTCCAGGATACCCTCGTTAGTAAATCTACAAAAGAGGGGGTCATTCCACACGTTCATAAACCTTCACTTGTCTCCCCCCCTCCTCAAAAAATATTTGTTTTGTGAGTATTAGGATTTTTATCCTTTTCCCCTCTAAAACATAATTTGGAGCTTTGACATTATCAAAGTGCAATGACAAAAATGAAGGAGGAAGTGAAGCCCCCCCCCCCATTCCAAAAGAAGACCCCAGACTGACCATCCCTACTGTAGAATAAAATGGACTTCAACAGAGTTTAACTTAGACGCATACCTGGCACAAACACAGTCTCTCCAGGTTTTTGTACTACTTCCAAAGGTTTGAACTCTGAAGGCCAAGTGGGAAGTTGTGTTCGGGGATATATTACTCTGAACCAAGTGATGGCTTCATCTTGCTGATTGCCTCCTTCTTCACGAGTCACTTTGATCAGTTCTCTGGGAGTGCTGGTAGGGAAGAGACACCAGCGCTTATGTCCATGGACTAAGGCATTCCACGCACTGGTTCCCAGAGGGTCAATGTGAATACCTGTTCCTGAACGAGGTGGGCCCATCACAAACCACCTGCATTGTTAGAAAATTTTGATTATTTTTCTGAAAAGTTTTCAGGAAGATTATTTCCATATTTCCGAATAAAAAATAGAAATCTAACTTTGTAATCCCCTTCATAATGGAAAATAAAATATCATTTATTTCCAAACATTTTATTAGGTTATAAAATATTATAAAATGCAAAACACAAAAGTAAATAAAAGACCAGTGAAAGGGGAAGGGGGAGAGAGGAAAGGTAGGGAAAAGAAAAAGCATTGATTTTTGATTCTCTGTTGTAGAAGAATAGGGCATTGACATCAAATCACAGCTTTTTGTTTTTACATAATAACAAGAAGTCATTTCTGTAAAGATTTATCAATCTAATCTGTAAAACCCAAAATTATACTCTTTTCCACATCAACCACATTTCAAGACAGCTACATAGGTCTGGGCAGTTTATTTTACAAAATGAATCCTGACCATGTGAGGAATGATTTTCAGAATGTCCCATGAACATTCTACTCGCTGAAGAAAAGATTTCAAAATCTGACAATTTTTAATGTAGGAGAATAAAAAAGAAAATGCAAAGCATCATTACTAAAAAGAACAATGTCAAGAATGGGTAGAAAATATTATCCTACATTCTTTTTTAACATTTCAACAATCTAACACAATCATCCAAGAGTATGCCCTAGCAGTTACCTCAAAGTTAAAGATGAATAAAATGTTTTATTTCCCCAATGATACTAGAACCCAACTATGGACATTGTTGTCAAAACAATTTAATCTAGAACTGCACAATAGATGCATTTCAATAGTAGAGCAATCATTATCAATCCAGTGCTAGTCATGTATTGACTGCATTTTCCAGAATCTGTACTCAGTATTGCCTTTTGATCCACTCAGAGAGTGCTAAGACCAACATTGGTATGAAAAGTGGAAAAAAAAAACACTGACTGCACTAGTTCATTTTTCTAAAAGCCCTTAAGATCTTTTTAAAAACCTAACTTTGTGGGCTTTAAGTGACTTATGAGTTATAACTTAAATGTAGCTGATATTTGGAAAGCCATCCTGTTTTACTGTTTACACCAAAAAGTCTTAAATCTTAGTTTTAGTGTGCCTGGACTGAATGCACAGGACAAATGAGACCAATGGAAATTCACTGGACTATAAGCCAAACTTTTGGTGCTTGAAGTTAGCTAGTTTATACCTGTAAGGTGGCCTTCTCTTCTCTCCTGCATATTTGAACAGATCGTCAGTGAAGAATTTGGGTACCCTATAGTCCTCCAAAAGTTTTTTGCGCTTTGGATGTTCCCCATAACTGCTGTCAAATATATAGAGAGGACTATCATCTCGTGTAGTCTCCATGTATTCAATGTAATACTTCATCTTCATTTTCACAGAATAACCGTCATTGTCCTCCCCGCACTTGAATTTCTGGTTCCTGTATTTGCGCTTCAGGCGTTCCAGAGTCCACTTCTCTTGAGCTGACCATCCTGCCTCGGCATTTAACAGGACAACAGGCTTATAAGGTTTCTCATATCTTTCAATGAATTCTTCCACTGACAAATGGAGGGCATCTGCTCTTTCTACATTATCCTACAAGAATGGAAGAAGAACTACCTTTAAAACAAAGTAACAAAGAATGTGATACAGTAGAACACTAATAATACTATTAGCCCCACAGAATGAGACTCACAAAGTCAAGAAAAATGCTTTAAAATTATGTTAAACTCTTGTTTTCCGTATAAATTGCATAAATTTATCCGGGTACTGCTAGATGAAGTGGATTTTATTTTTTAATTTTGAAACAGAAACATTCGTAAAAAGATCTACTTTTTATAATTCACCTTTTCTTCACATTCTATATTTTGTCTAAACTAATCTCTACCTACATATATTCTTGTATGAAATCTGCTTTACATAAATATGTCTTCTCAGCATATCATAAACATCTTAAAATAATTACTTTATTTTATTGTAAGATTTCTTTTCCCTCCTTTTATTATCCCATCCATACCTATAATTCTGGTGATTAAAAAGTTGAAAAATACACAAGTGTAGGTTCTCTGACAAACATCAATTCTAGTTCAGAAAGTTTCCACGTTTGCCCAGCAATTTAAGTCCCACTGACTTCAACTAGGTATCCTCTACACACCATCAGAATCAGAATAGAGCTGGAAGGGACCTTGGAGGTCTTCTAGTCTAACCCCCTGCTCAAGCAGGAAACCCTATATCATTTCAGACTGGTGGCTGTCCAGTCTTTGGTTAAAACCTCCAGTAATGAACTACACACAACTTCTGAAGGCAAAGCTGTTCAAATGATTAATTGTCCTCCGTTAGGAAGTTTCTCCTTAATCAAACTCCTCCTTGATCAGTTTCCATCCACTGTTTCTTGTCTTGCCTTCTGGTGCTTTGGAAAATAAATGGACCCCCTCCTCTTTGTGGCCACATAATTTACTCCCAGTTCCTTTTCCACCACTTTAATGGAAGCCCAAACCATACAAAACACAACCCACAAGAGGGGTTTTAGCCAACGTGCTAAGCACCCTCCTCACTTTTTGAGATGTTATCTTGTCCCAAACTCTTCCATCTCCGCGAGCCCGTCGCTGAACCTTCAGATTGTTTATCGACCGCCAAACATTCCATATTAAAAAGCAACTTAATCATTGCTACTTTAACTAAGAATAACCATGGCAATAATAAAGGATAACAGCCCCATCGATCTTTCGGGATGCATCCTGAATCCCAGAGCCGACACAATCCCCACAGAGACCTGGGGGTGGGTGAAGCCCCTCACGTCTCTCGGGGCCCAACCTACCAAGCGGGGTGGATGTCGGATCAGCCGAAGAAAGAGACAGGTCTCTACTTAACCCGCCTCGAGGTCCGGAGAAAGGGGTGACAAAAGCTGACCGAGCAAGCCGAGGTACCCCTCTCACGATGTTCCCCCACACTCCCGGGAAGGGATTTGACGCACCCTCCCGCCTCGGCCCGGATAAAGAGAGCCTGTCGGGCTGCGGCTTCCGACTGCCGCCCTTTCCCCGCCGCAGCTTCCTTCTTTAGACTGCCCTCCCGCTCACCTTGCAGCCCGCCGGGTTCAGCGGGAAGCTCTCGCAGTAGTTGTGCCGAGTCCAATCGAGGGAGTCCTTGAGCTCGGGACGCGCGCTCCGCTTCGCCTCACGGATGCGCTTCTTGCTTTTGTGGTTCATGCTCCCCACGCGGCTCTGCCTTCCCCGCCCGACTCTTCCGGCTACGGATTCCGAGACGGCACCCACCCGAACAACAGCGCCACGCCGCTCCCAGAAATTTCACCACCGCGCCGACTCAGCTACCAACTCGCGGCCTCGACGCCACCCGCCTCGCTTGCCTTCAACTTCCGCTTCCTCCCATTGGTTGGCGCCGCCGGGGTTGGGGTGGGGTCTCGCGGACGGGACAAGCTCTCATTGGGTCTTTCGAGCAGCGGAAATAGAGGCGGGCGGCGCCAGAGTGGAGGTGGAACCGCTTCGGCGCCATCTTGGGGCGTCACGCCCCACCGAGAGGCGTCGCTGTTGCGCAGCGCGAAGGGCGGAGGAGGGGGTCGCGCGCTCTTGGCAGGGCACGGACTTAGGCGGCGCTGATTTGCGAGGTGGGTGGGAAGGTGCTTTATAGTCCAGGAAGGCCGGTTGAAGAGCGGAGAAATAAATGCTGAAGCGAGGATCGGATTGTTGCAGTGGCTGCACTTGGGTGGAAGCTGCCCATTGGGCACGACTCTTTCAGGCAATGAGATTTCCGTTCACTTTCCTTAGGAACCTGGATGGGTTCGACCCGAAGCATATTTAACCTAATATTAAATCCTCCTCTGTTCCGCGGGGTATATAATCCCAAACTCGCGTGTGTAAACAGCAGCTTGATTGGCATATTGGATTTTTTATTTCGGATTAGCAGCCCACGCTGAAGGACACGGTGGTTTTAAACTGCACAGGGGAATCGTTCATTGTACAACTAGGGAGGCGCAATTTGATTCTAGATATCGGCGCAGTTTTTTTAAAAACTAATGTTTATTGGTCCAATGGGACTTTGATCCTTAAAAGACTATGACACTCACACTAGGTGCAGTTACTCCACAAGTGGCCGCTCTATAGAGTCCCAAATCCTTCCGGGAATAGTGATACCAGGCGAAATTAAGCTCTTATTAGCATTTCTCCATAGGATAGAATTAGCCTGCAAGAATAAACCGCCTGTCTTCAGTGGGAGAGAAGTAAAAACAGCCTGCCGACTCAAGAGAAAAAAAAATGGGAAAGGGAGGTAACTGTTAAATGCCATTCTTGGTGGGTTTTTCATAATTTTCCCCCTTCATAGAAATGGGCATGATTGGCTGCCTCATCCAGAGACGTGCTGGAAGAGCCTGACTGCAGATGGCCAATCGGGCCTTATTGATCCTTTCGCAAAAGCTGGCATGTGCGAGGTAGCGTCCAATATGACTGTGAAGGAATACCGGTTTGGAAAAGATCAGGAAAAGGAGGATGGGGATGACCGGCCTAGGGAGTTGGTGGTGCTGATTCCCGAGGTATTGTTATGATTATGGTTTATCACGCCGTCGGCCAATATGCTCACACTGAATTTGGCATGACCCACCTATCAGAGTTCTTATTATCTGCTAAATGAGAATCAAGAGGTTTTAACTTCAGGACCTTGGAAAATAATCTAACACCTTTGCATTTCACATAAATTGCTCTTGCTTAATTTTGAAATACTTTTTTTTCTAGGTACAGATGCTGTACTGAAAATTGGTTTAAGATAGTTTGATAGGCATTGTTTCTTTCGGTTTTCATCCCACAATTTTTCTAAAGTGGGTCCATATTCCAGTGGGGTTTTGGTTTTTCAAATTAGTTTGATGAAGAGCTTAAATTAAAACTTAAATGGCAAATTTAAAATGTCAGTTAAAGATTATTTGTATAAAAACAAATCTAACAGAAACAGTTAATATGACACCCTGTACCAGGACTCTCCAACCTTGACAACTTTTAAGACTTGTGACCTCTACTCCCAGAATTCCTCAGCTAGCTTTGTTGTCTGAGGAAGTCTGGGAGTTGAAATCTACAAGTCTTTAAAGTTGTCACGGTTGGAAACCACTGCTCTATACAGTATGTTTTTTCAATGCAAAGCTTTTAGAATGATCTTGATAGCCTTTATTTATGAATTACTGAAGTAAGGATCAACAAATCAATGAATGAAGAATGATTTTAGTAATGAAAACACTTTCTTAGATTTAATAATTTAAAAATTCTTAATGCTCAAATTTATTTTTGTATACACAAGCACGTCATATTTCAGTAATATGCCTAATTGGGTTAAAACTTCACAACATTTTGACATTTGACATTTTTAATAAGATAGGAAATACGTGCCAGTTTGTGTGCATGAAACAATGCATCTATGTTACTATCTTAAATGCTTTATAATTTAACTTCCTCACTTTATAGATTAATCCCTGAATATAACAGGTGTTTCTGTAATCATTTTTTTCTTTTGAAATTAGCTGTAAGTACTGAGAGAAGAAGGCTTATCTCAATACATTTAAACTCATGTTGAAGCTGCAATGTCAGTTCCACAATTTGTATTAAAACAGGCATTCCTGTAACTATGTTATATACTCCCTAAACTAAATCAAATCTATCATAGTCATATTCTGAACTGGCATCTGTTTTTGTAACCTGTAAAATTAGGCAGACAGAAAAATATAATTTATTTGATTCTAAGTAGAAGCCATTAGTGTAAATTTAGTGTAAATTTCTTTGTAAATTGTTAGGCAATACAAACTCAAAAAACGGTAACTTTGGTGTCCTTTCTGGGTGAACTTGTTACCATACACTAAGATTTGAAGGAGTTACAACCATCTTCATTTTTTTAGTAGGCTCACATGCTGGATTTGATTTGATTTCATTGAACTTAACATATGTAGTTGCATAGTCACAATTGATCCTAAAAAGATTGATTACAAAATGCATGTGTTGTAATGAATAATACTTTCTATACCTAGAGGAAAATATACAGCATTACATTCATTATTCCAAATATATTAGCTTTTTCCTTGACCTGTGATTTGTATGCAGTTCTAGCACATTGTAGAACAGAGTTAATAGAAGTATTTTACAAACTCCTTAAAAGACCAAGAAAACAGGAAAAAGTTATATCTAATTTAAATATCTTTAATATGGTACAGGGTGTCATATTAACTGTGGTACAGGGTGTCATATTAACTGTTTCTGTTAGATTTGTTTTTATACAAATAATCTTTAACTGACATTTTAAATTTGCCATTTAAGTTTTAATTAAAATTATTTTAATGCTATCTTATTTTGCAATACAAACTTTTGTTTTAGGTTCTTGATCCTCGATATGGTATGTATGTTTGGCCTTGCGCTGTGGTTTTGGCCCAGTATATCTGGTTTCATAGAAGACTTCTCTTTGGCAAAAGAATACTAGAGGTAATGTCACATTATTTTCATTCAGATGTCATGGAATTAGAGTGTTAAAGAAAAAAAGTTGGATTAGTTTGGGGTGAATATTGCACATAAACCCACAGATCTTTTGGGGGGAGGAAGCAGAGAGATAAAGATCCTAAATTAGATAAAATGTGAATGGTGTAGATGAAAATTCTATGTAATAATTATTAATCAATACATTTGTATTTACAGCAAAATATATAATGCAAACAATTTACTACTGGTAATCCTTGTTTAGCAACCACAAATGGGATTGCCAACATAGTCAATAAGCAAAGCAGTCACTAAGTGAAACTGCACTTCTGCTTTCCTTTGTTTGCAGATCTGTAAAGTTCCTGAACTGAAGAACAGATCAAAATTATTATTGCTGTTGTAACTGAATGATTACTGTATGAGATAGTCACTAAATGAGAACTACGTGCAGTTGTACTGGGAAACTGCATCAAATCTGTTATGAATTTGAACGCTATTATAGGCAAGCCAAAATTCTGTAGTAAGATAATTTTTGTGTTAGAAATATTGAAGAAATCTCATAGAATATATTTTAGTCATTCATGGGTCTACATATATAGGAAGTCAATTTACACATCTGGATCAAAATTTCAGTCATTAAGCAAAGTGGTCATTGATAGTCATTGACTGACTGAACCTGATTTTACAACCATTTTTACAGCCATTGTTAAGCAAATCACCATGGTTGTTAAGTGACATAGGGTCATTAAGCAAATATGGCTTCCTCCAATGATTTTGCTTGTTAGATCAGAAATTGCAAAAATGTCACAACAGGATATTGCAACTGTCATGATCTTGTGACCAACAAGATGCTGCATCCTTCATAAATGCTAGCTAGTTGCTGATAGCCCCAAATGCTTGACTAGGTTGGTCCAGTCACTTGTTTCAACTCCTTCCCTTGGAAGGGTAACGTATGCCAAAACTAGACTCAGGACATTTTTTGCCCTTGTGCCATCACTCTTTACTCTCGCTTTTATCGGTATTATTCTGTAACTTTGCATGTAGAGTGCTTCTGTATCTGAGACAAATTTCTTGAGTGTCTAATCACTTGGCCAAATGAAGTATGCCATTCAATTAAACTCAACCATTGTATCTCCAAGTTAAACAAATGGTTGTGTGTATTGCTGTAGGAGAAACAATAGTATCCCATACATATTCACAAGCATACATACGGGTATATAAGTATACAAAACTTCTGTTTTAAAATAAGATCATACTTAACTGTTTTAGCTGTTTTTAAGCAACTTCTTCAATCTACAATATTAATTGGAACAAATTACTTTCCCATGCAATTAAGGCACGGGAATCCATTTCTGTTGTCCAGCTATCACTTTCTATGGTGGCAGGTATAAAGTTCAAAAGAACATGGGGATCTGAAAATATATGAAATTTGGAGTGTCCATCTCAACCATGATTTGCTTAATCCACCACTTAATCCATTTTGACGTTCCTCTCTACTCGGATACCACTCATGCAGATCCAAAATGACTCGGATAGATTAATCTAGGTATCAAATATAAAGTTGCATTTTCTAAGTTTTTCTTTTGAATAAAGCAATTTGACCCCTCTCTTATTATTCATCAGCAGGGTATTATTTCTGGTTGTCTTTTACATTTTTTTTAAAGAATCCAAACCTTTGATAAAAAATGTCAAACTTGGTAGTCATTAGTCAATTCTTAATAAATGGAAGGTGGGTGGGGAATCAATTTGTATACATTCTATGGATGTTTTTTTTATAATTGCTGTCACAAATTAGGTTTTATTCTGTTCAGATTGGAGCAGGTGTGAGCCTACCTGGAATAGTGGCAGCAAAATGTGGAGCAGAAGTAATATTATCAGATAATGCAGATTTCTCAGAGTGTTTGGACAACTGCCGAAGAAGCTGCCAGATGAATAATCTCTCTGGGATATGTGTTATAGGACTTACCTGGGGTCATGTATCACCCTGTTTGTTGAGTTTAGCCCCAGTTGACTTTATTTTGGGAGCGGATGTACTTTTTGAACCAGAAGGCAAGTGGTCTCTCTTAATATTCATTTTTAGAACTACCCAAGTATGTGAATGGCAATGATTTTTTTTTGTAAACTCAAGACTTTGTAAGTCCTACTTATACCAACTACTAAAATAATGGGGAAACAAATCGCTCAGTTTTAAAAAGGTATGCAATTCTAAAAGGATGAAAGGATTATTACAAATCTTTGTGCTCAGTTATAACTTCAATTACTTTTTTATTCAAGGATTCACAGTATAAATTGTGTCCTGTTACTACTGGTAAAATTTGACAAATGGGATAACTTGCAATTCAAATTTTAGGAAGTCAATTCTTACTTACTCTGCTTTAGTTATATAGGGTACACATACTTTCCTCCACTTATTCCATAATAGTTCATCTGGCTTTAATATCCCAATGAGCCAAAGATGGACCTTCAGTAAATTATTTCAAATACTTTAATCCAGCACTTTTACCATGACACCAAGCTAGTTTCTAAAGCCATACGATAATGATGGAAAATGCAATTTTATCATCTCCGGCTATATTGGAGTTAAGACGGTAAATGTAAATAAATATTTGGCAGACATCATGGATTATTTTGATGATCAATAGTTACCGGATTGATTTTTTAAAAAGTGCTTGTTCATGATGGTACTTTTGGGTATGTTATTTTGCAGTTAGAATATAAGTGCTTTGTAATTAAAAAAAAAACTTGCCCCAAATTTTTAATGTTTTCAAACTGACATGTATTTGAAAATCCTTTTTGAATGTAGTGTTAGTTCAGGGTAATAAACAAGGAACAGTAACTGGAAAGTTGACTACAATTAAAAATGCTAAGTCAGAAATCAAAGGATTGAAGAAATGTAAAAGCAATATATAATTTAACTATTTCTAATCATAGCAAAAATGTTAACGTTTTTTTTTTTTTTTTTTTAGACTTTGAAGATGTTGTAAGTACAGTGCACTATTTAATGGAAAAGAATACTAATGCTCAATTTTGGACTACTTACCAAGTCAGAAGGTATATAGTTACTCTCATTTTCCCATTAATTTCATATTTATATACTTTGGCACTTAAAAGCAGCTCATTCAAAAGGTATCAAGTTGCCCACTATTAATTTTTAAGAATTTTCAGTTTCTAAGTGTTATTGGCCATCCAACGTTGTCCCAAAGCTTTTAATATTTGCTCTTCCCCCTCCAGTGCCAACTGGTCTATTGAAGGATTACTATATAAATGGGAGATGGAAAGCACACACGTGCCATTGCAGTCATTTGAAGCCACCAAGGAACAACTTGCAGGATCTTCTCTTCCAGGGATGCACACTATTCAAATGATGGTTATCAGTAGAAAAAAAAATAAAGGACTGAAAACTTAAGAAACATTCCTAATGGATTTTAATGAAAATGCATCAATTGCTTATCTGAGTTCCATATCACCTGACCACCATTGCATACAAATCAGTTTATTCTCAGCATTTTTAAAAAGTAATTTTATTCATTGTTCATGCCGACACTAATTCTGCTGCATGTTTCCTTTGAATTAAGAATATATACACATTTCACAGGAATACCAAAAATGTGACTTGAGCCTACAATGTTTTAAAAACAATCTTTGTTATATAGGAGTTAAGTCCCATTAACTAGGACTTATAGGAATGAATTTGCTGGATGAGTTTTCCTTAAATTGCAAACTAATATGATCTGTCCTAGTCTAACAGACAAAACTGACTCAAACCATCAGTTTAAAAAAAAAACCTGAACACAAAAAAAGTGTTGCTTTTATTAAACTACAGACACAGTGGTTATAATACAGAATGTTTTTAAGAGATACTCCAAATCAATACTTAAAAAGGAATGAATCAAACGCTTTAACATTACATTTTCATATGCAAGTTCACATATGTAGATGGTCTAATTTACCATTTGGAAAAATAAGGTGTGTATATCACCAGCTAGATGTGCTCACTGTATGCTCCATTATTTTAATGCAAGGCCCGGGTGACTGGAAGTGCAGTTGTCAGGCAATTACAATTAACTGGACAGCCATTTGTTTCTGCACGACAAGGCATCTTTACAGGAGCAATCAGGAGAAAACAGGAAACAGCCAAGCACTCTGCACTGCAACACGCCACCTTAACAGCTAACCAGCATTACTCAACTGCTACACAACTGCGCCTAGTGCACAAAAATACATAAGAGAAGAGATTAGAATTTTGTCTGATAAAAACAAATCTGTCAAATTAATTTGTGAGCTGTAAAGTTTGTTTGACTTGAAGTATTTGCATATGTGCTTGAATTTTTAAAATTCAAAATTGGGAGAACAAAGGCAAGAATTGAACATCTGGACAGCATAAAGCTTTTCAGCATACTATAGCTGCATATTTAATATTAAAGTTGAGGCTGCATGTTAATTATCAGTTTAATTTGCAAACAAGTCAGCACTATATGAACAAAAATGAAGTTTTTACCTCAAATATCCAAGCCAATAATGAAATCTGTAGTCGTTCACATCACTAAATTACAAGAAATTTGAATAATAGCAACAAAATGGCACATAAAAAGTAAAAGTCTGCCATTTGAGGCTCAAAAACGTAAAGTAAAAAGTTAGACAAAGTGTTACAAAATAACCTTTTCAACAGCCTGTTGGTTGTGCAGGAGTCTCTAAAGGACTGGCAATTCAGATGATCATTTCTCCTCCAAAGGCATCCTTTATGTAGATTTCTCATCCACTTGCAGTATCTAAATTTGAAAAAGATAATACTTAGGGCATACTTTGTATGCATTCAGTTGTTTATGGATACTTTTAAATACCTACTTGTATTGATGTTTTAACATGTTTGCAAGCAAGTACAACATCTCCCTCCCACTATTGCATTGATACCACCGTAGCAGTCTTGAGTTTTGGAAAAATTTGTCCATCTCTGTACTAATCACATCATGTTGTTTATCAACCACCCCTAATCTAAATCCAACCTTATTAATTATGCCTTTATCCTTATTCAAAACCTTGATGTGTTATTAGTCATTATCCTTAACAGTTCTACTAGGCCTTCATTTGAAAAAAAACAGGACCAAACAATTTGAGGGAGGTTAAAGACACACTATCCATTTTCCCACCCAGCATATTCTTATAAGCCCACAATTGCACCAAGGACACTGGTTTCCATCAACTTTTGCATTTCACTTCTAAAAGTGTTTGCTGCTCTTGAGAACTGTATCCACAGAACAGATTTTTAACAGGATAGTGTATCTTTAACATTTAAAGACAAACCTGCTCCAATACACGCCCACAGAAACTGGTCCCTGGAGGATCAGCCAAATCAGTTAAAATCTGCAATACTGGCCAATATTCTTTAAGCAAACAGGAGACCGCAGCTTTAAAGGGGAAAATGCAGATGTTGGATAAGAACAGTAAGAAAATAGTCAATTCAGAAATAGGTTGCGTCTCAAACAATAGATATTAAAAAGCAAGCTATTAATTGCAACAAAACATGAAGATGCCTTTTATTAGCTGTAAATTAAAACACCCTTTTCAGAAATAAACATGCCCCATTTTCTTACACCAGAATGCTTAAGATCCCAGTGCCTACTAATTTCCTACAATAAAGCATGCAAGTTCAGGAGAATACCTGATACTTTACCGTTTTTTTAAGATGACACAGCACCTTCCTCTTCAGGAGATTTAGGAGGGCTCTTAGAACGGGATCTCGATTTCGATTCCCTCTTAGAGATAGGTGGAGGGCTTCTGGATTTGGACCTGGATCTTGATCGGGAACGAGATCTGGACACCGACGAAGACTTGGACTTCGACCTCCTGGCCGATCTGGACTTCGAAGTGGAACGAGAGCGGGATCGCGTGCGGGACCTTGATTTGGAACGGCTGTAGCGCGATCTGCTACGAGATCGGGATCGGCTCCTGCTTCGGGATCGGCTGCGACGCCTCCTCCTGGGACTGGGTGGAAGAGAGAGACGGGCGGTTGGAAGGCATCCAGGAAGTCGAGCACTCGTTTATCTTTCGGGAGTTCGCTCACTGAGCCAACGGCTGAAGCCGCTCGCCGCCCATTCAGAATCACGTGGCTCTCCCTTTCCCGCCGACCTTCCCCCACTTCCCTCCCCCCACACCATTACGCTAACCTATTACACGGCAGGGCCTTTTTTTTTTTCTGCCTCTCCCTTATACCACATATCCCGTTTAAATACTTTTCTAAGAGACGACTTTTCTTTTGCCCGGCGGGACTTCTCCCCCACAATCTCACCTTCTGCTGCGACGTCCATAACCGCCGCTTCCGTACCGGCGCGGAGGAGGCCCACGTCGGCTGTGGTGCGAATCCGGAGGTCGGCCGTAACGGGCCATCTGGACCCGCAATTCGCGGCCATCGAGCACGGCTCCGTCCATGGCGTCCATAGCGTCCTCCGCGTCGCGCTTGTCGTGGAAACGCACAAAAGCGAATCCACGACTCTCCTTGGTGTAGCGATCGCGGGGAATGTAGACATCCCCCACGCGGCCGTACTTCTCGAAGACGCGGCGGAGTGTGTCCGGAGAAGTACGGTATGTCAGGTTGTCCACCTTCAGAGAGGTCATGCCTTCCACGTCCGGCGGCGGTCGCCCGTAACTCATAGTAACGGGCAGAAAAACACGGAAAGAAGCGTACCGTACAAACTATCTTTGAGGATATGTAAACGGCTGCTGTGTTGGGCTCGCGTTACTACGAGCTGGCCGTCGAATCAACAGCTCAATCGCAAGCCACCATCTCCGACCGCTGCCACGAGCAAGTGAACGAGGTGCCGCCCTTCCTCAAGTATTTAAGCGCCATAAAATGGCCGCCGATGGCCCGGAAGTACTTCTCGATTCTACTCGCGCCCCTCCGTTGTACCCTAAGCCATTCAATTTTAAATTCGACTTTTGTTGCTCCAAAGGGAAAACACGATATTAAAAGGCACTGATATCCACCCAAAAAGAAAAAGGGAAAGATAAACTCTTCATCGACTGCGAAAGTTCACCAGCCCCTCAGTGCTGAAACCCGGAAGCGATTGTTTACGCTTCTCACGCGGAAGGCTGCAGAGCATTTAATTCCCAATTCCAAATTACAACTCTGAAAAAGGTATAACCGCCTTTGTTTGTTATAATTTAGTCGGCGTGTCGATTGTACAAACCGTTAAGTAATTGGCGTGGTATACGCTTATTAAAAGACAAGAAGCTCAATGTTTAAAATGGCGGCCAAGGCTGCGAGGAAGCTGACTAATAATACACGGGAGCGCGCACGTAACATGCCACAGGCACGCCAAAAGAAGCAAGCAAAGATAGAAGTGCGAGGCCAAGAGGGGAGGTGTGGCTGAGACGGACTGGTTAAGGCTGATTTTTTTACTGCGTCTTCGCGCTGAATGAGAGCCTGGGATTGGGGGCGGGGAAGGTTTGCTGTCTTTTCAAGGGAGATATTTGTCTCAATTTGGGGTAGTTAGTTCAGTTTGGGGCAGCGGTTCTGGCTATTGAACTGTATTAGGCGTAGGTAAACGAAAGAATAACCACACTAGTAGCAGCACCATGTTAACATTTTCAAAGCCCACTATCAGGCCTGATTATCAGACACCCTGTAAGGGTCAGGAAAACTTATTTAAAATGGGAAAAAAGGATATTCTGCTGTACAGTATTTTGCACCTTTACTCCAAGGAGGAGGACTATGCAATGTTTTTTGAGGTATAAAAAGATGGCAAGTTTGTCTCATTTTCTAGGTATGATACAAAACAGTTTGCCCTTCTAGGTGGTTCCCCCCCCCCAATTGTCCTATTTAAATACCAAGGTGGATTGGATTCCCCCCTCCCCCAAAGACTTGCTGGTATCACTTGCTGTGGGCCGACTTTAACAAGAAATTTGTGCCTCAAAAGTTGAGGCCTGAGCTTTTTATTCTACAGGCTTGATATATGAAATATTTCTTGCCACCTTGATTTCTTTGCTAGTAAGGAAGACAATTTCTCCTCTTAATCTCCAATCCTTTGCAACGTAAATGGCCTCTTTTATCCCTCTTTCAAACCAATGTCCTGTTTATCCAAAATGTGAATTTTGCTGTCTTAGAAAGAGTGGCTTTGTCTTTCAAATGCAGATGGACCTTGTCCTGATCTCCATCTTATTTGAGAGACAAAAGTTGCTACCAACAGACCACTACAACCACATGGAATTAGCATAGCACACAAGCCAACTAATGTCCTTCAAAACATCCTAAGCAAATCAAAAGATTCAGCAACCCCAGAGGAAAAAACAGGAGTCATCTACAACATATGACTGCAACAATTGCTATGTAGGACAAACAGGCAGAAGACTGGCAGAATGCATCTGTGAATATCAACTGGCAGTCAGAAGACATGAAAACACTTTAATTTCACAATCTATAGACAGACTTAACCATAGTTTTAATTGAAAAAATGTGACCATCCTAGACCAAGCTATGTTCAAAAACACCTGGGAAATTCTAGCCATCATTAGACACAAAGACATTAACAGACTATGCAAAAGAGACAAGAAATCAGTCAAAAAGGGTACAAAAAGACCCAAGCACCTCTCCACCAGCAATTAGCACCCAGATCCGCATATATTAACTCCAAGATTAACAGACCAACAATCAGGTAAGCATTGATGTTACCTAGTTTGGGTAATGAAACATCTGCAAGAAAACAAGCAAGCTGAGAGAGCAGCAAGGATCTCTTAATATATATACAATATATGTACACCGAGAGCATATGCACCAAGACCAATTCCTTGTGTCTCCAATGACACTTGGCCAATAAAGAGTTCTATTCTATATTGAGACTAACTTTTGCACACACTCATTTTTACATAAAACATGAGGTTTCTTAAGTGTTGTTTGTAGCCATCAAAATGGTTATCACCATGTATGAGGTTGGCTGATGTTTCTTAGCAATTTTATTTCCAGTTTCTATTTCTTTTAGTCCAGTATCCTTCCGAGGTGGGTAAAATGAGGACCCAGATTGTTGGGTGCAATATGCTGACTCTGTCAACCGCTTTGAGAGGGCTGTAAAGCATTATAAAGCGGTATATAAGTCTAAGTGCTATTGCTATTTCATATATTTTAGAGCAGTGGTTCCCAAAGAGGGCGGTACCGCCCCCTGGGGTGGTGGTGGGATGCCTTAGGGGGGCGCTGAGAGGCAAGGGGGCTGGCAGGGGGTACTAAGAGGTGGCAGGGGGGGTGCTGGAGGTGAGCGGCAGGGCACAATTCAGGGATGAGAAAAAATCCCACCGCCGCGTTCGAGGCAAGGATCTGCAGGATCATCCCATTGACTTGCATGCTCTGGTGCAAGGAGCTCCGCCCCGAACGCAGCGTTGGGAAAGAAGAGCAAAGCCAGAGTGGCTTTGCTCGCCTTTTCAAACATCCCCCTGCAGCGGCATTCCACCCCATTTGAGCCCCTTGCACCAGAGGCACCTGCCAAAGCAAGTCCGAACAGAGCGGTGCATGAAGTCGATGGGGTGAGCCTGAGAGGAGGAAAGAGAGAGAGAGAAAAAGAGAGAAGGAAGAAGAGAAAGAGAAAAGGGAAACAAAGAAAGGGGGATGGAAGGAAGGGACAGAAAGAAAAAGAAATAAAGAAGGAGGGTGGGAGGGAGGAGAAAGATAATGAGATATCTATTCTAGTCCAATCACCTGCTCCAGCAGGGTTAGAAGGGAGTGTGTGTGTGTGTGTGTGTGTTCTCCTTGTAATTTACCAATGCATTTTGGTTTTGCCTTCTTCAGAATTGGCACTGTAATACATTGGGGAAAAGTAATTTTTTAGGGTGGAGATCTGCTCCAATGGATCCTGTTTAAAGCCAAACAAAATGTGACAGCTTGCCCTCGGAAGCTGTGGGAGTGCCATCAGTTGAGACCTTCAAGAAGAGATTGGACTGCCATTTGTCAGAAATGGTGTAGGGTCTCCCGCTTGGGCGGGAGGTTGGACTAGATGACCTACAAGGTCCCTTCCAACTCTGATTATCTGTATCTGTATCTGATAGTCTTGGCCATGTTTCGTCCATAAAACCTTTAATTAATAGAAGCCAAAGATGTTTCAATGTGCTAGCAAAGATGTTGGCAAAGATGTTTCAATGTGGGAAAGGGCCTCTAAACTAGGCGTCATTTCAATCTGATGCATCAGGTCTCTCTCTCTCTCTCTCTCTCTCTCTCTCTCTCTCTCTCTCTCCCCTCCATCCCTCCATGCCCCCCCTTTCTTTGTCCCTTTTTCTTTCTTTCCCTTTTCTCTTTCTTTTCTTCCTTCTCTCTTTCTCTCTTTTCTCTCTCTCTCTCTCTTCCTCTCCCAGGCTCACCCCATTGATTTGGTGCACCACTCTGCTCGGACTTGCTTGGGCAGGTCCCTCCAGGGCAGCGGGCTCAATGGGGTGGACCTGCGGGGCCGGCACCTAGAACGCGGGCAGTGCCGGCATGTTTGAAAAGTAGAGCAAATCCAGAGGTCAGTAATTTTTGCTGCAAAGAATCACAAAAGCTTCTGGGTTGTGCACAAGAAGGGACACAATTCAGGCAACATAAAATAAAGAAATACAAATAAAACAAATCAACAAGAATTGGCAAAGCATCTCTGATTAGATTTTATTCACTACTAGAATCTAATCAGAGATGCTTTGCTGATTCTAGTCCAATGACCTGCTCCAGCAGGGTTGGAAGGGAGTATGTGTATATGTGTGTGCATGTCTGTCAAAACTCCCAAAACAGGTCAAGTAGTTCTGGGGAGGCCAGTCATAAATTAGAATACTTGCTAAGCAATTGGCCATTAAGTAAGGACCACTTGCATTTGATTTGCCAGTCACCAAACCACGCTCATCCAGTCACGTGACCTGCAAGCCATGCCACCAGCCACGTGACCAGCAAACCATGCCCACCCAGTCATGTGACCAGCAAGCCACGCCCACCCAATCATGTGACCAGCAAACCACACCCTCAAATTAGGCCATGCCCACAGAAATTTCAATCCTGCACCTGGGTGGGGGGCATTGAGGATGAGTTTGTAGCACCAAGGGGGCAGTGGACTGAAAAGGTTTGGGAACCACTGTTTTAGAGTCTTGGTACACTTCTCTCCCAATTTGGAATAATTAAATGGCTTCTAGTCTAACTGTACCTCCCTATTCAATTTTTTAAAGAGAAATCCAAAAGATCAAAAGCTTTTGTATAATTAATTAAACTAAAAATAAATGTATTTCCCATTATCCACGGGATGTTAAGATTATGATTTTCATTGTTTGCCTCTTGATTTTAACTTGTATATCTAGCAACTCTAAATATTGAACTCTGGATTGTTAAATATTGATAATTGGCTTTCCTGTATGTGAGAAGTGCTAGTTTGAGCATTTTTAAGCAATTATTTTTCTTCCTGTTGGAATATAAATCAATTATTTCCAGTCCTTTGGCCACAAAATTGATGTTAAAATGTTTACCACTACACTAAACTAATGTGGTGATTAGAATTAAAGTAATGTTAAAATATTTTTGCAGATATTTAATGAATTAAATCATTTTTTTTAAAGTCAGAGCAAAGTAAGATATTTGAAAATAGTATTGAATGAATTTTTCTCAGTGAATACTAGGAAATATTTTTCTGATGAATTAATACAACAAAACAAATACTAAACTTATGTACCATAATAATTATGAACTAGAATAGGAAAAATACATAAAAATGAGGGACATGATTTAAAAGAATGGTCCCCAGACTGATAACATTCTGTTAATTCACTGAATCAAAGTATATTCTTATTCAGCAGTTCTATTGTCACCAAAATTTTTGTGGGAGATATAGTTTTAGTCTATTTGAACCAATGTTTAGTTCAAAAGTTGATAATAAAGTAATTTCTAATTCAGTGGGAGTGTACAGCAATAGTGCACATTATCCAAGCAACTAAACATGAAAAATTTATAGTCCATAATATAGAAATAAATAAGGAGACGAAAGTCTATTTTATTTTCTTGAAAATACCTCATACTATGTTCAGTTTAATACATATTTCAGAATTCTAAAAACAGTATAGGAGATACTCAGAATACTGGGAAAGCTGCCCTTGTTTTGATTTTAGTCTACAACATTGATTAATAAATTTTGAATGCCAACCTAAAAATACCTTATAAGTGTAGGTGTTATCTTATACTGTTAATGTTAACTAACTACAGGTAACCCTTGATCTATGACCACAATGGAGCTCAGATTTTTCATGGTAAGGCATGATGATTTTAAGTTGACCAGCCCAGATTTTATGACTTTATGGCAGTCATTAAGTAACCATGGCAGTTCTTAAATTAATTCAGCAATTGTTAAGTGAATCTATGAATGTTTTTTTTTTGCCAGAAATCTACTAAAATAGCTGAAAACTGGCAAAAAAAGTTATAAATTGTGGCCACAAGACTGTAAATGTGAGTTGGTTTATTTATTTATATTTCCTATATTTTAATCTTCCCATCTCCCTCAGAGGTTGCCAAACACCCAAATGCACTTGTGACCATGAGTATGTACATGTGCAGCCATCAGAACTATGGAACTAGCTTGTAGTTATCTTGGTTATTTGGAGGGGTGTGTGTGTCGTAATTTAGAAAAGTTGCTAAGTGTCAGGCCCTAGCACCTAGCTGAAAGATGATATAGCGAGATACAATAAAGTCCAATACTTTATTTGCTTACATCTAGTGGACAGAATGTTACCATTTAAAACTATAACTTTTAATCTGTTAGATATGAGAGATTCTAGGCTGTGGGTATCCTGAATCTCTTCCCCCCCTCCCCCTTTGCAGCCCAGAAATCTGCAGTCTGTTCACCTGGGCCTCTCTCTGGGAAAGCTCTGTGCTGCCAAGGCCGCCCGCCCCCCCCCCCTTCTCCAGATGCACATTCAATATTGAATCTAGCATTTGGATGTCAAAATTTGAAATGAGGGAAACCACAAATGCATTGATATGATTGGATTTAGTTCTCATGAGGTTTGTCTTACATACTACAATTATATATTTATTTGGGGTGTTACCTTTTTTCTTGAACTGCATTATTTTAATGACTATGATAGTAACATTTTGATTGGGAAGGTTACATTCATTATTATATAATTTTTAGTATTTATAATAAAACAATTTGTTCTCATAGATACAGGTTACAAGTGCTATCATAAATAATAATGAGGTTTATAGAGTCCGTTGATTTAAGTGGGACTTAAAAGAAGCATTAATTTGTGACGTACTCTTTTCAGACAAGCTTAGCGACAAACTGACACTTAGGTTCAGTAACGATTCAAATCATTTCAAGGTTTCCCTTTATCATATACCAGATTATTCAGAATTGGCTTTTATCAAAATTTCCTGACAAATGAGAAAAACAAAATGTACAGTCATTATTATCTAAAAGGTATTTTGTTCATGCTTACACATATCACTGAGTTTTTATTCTGTAGCATTGCTTAGAAATGCTTTCTTTTCCTTAGTATATAGCTCTTTGAACTGCATTTCCCAGAATTCATGAGTGCTTTCCCACCCTCATTTGATCAGCTGACTTAATTTGTAAACTGTTCTCTATTTCCTGTCTGGCATGAATGGAAATAATTGCCGTAGCTGTTCCTTTTATCAGATAATTGGTGTCCAAGTCAAAATCTGATTCCATTACATGGAAGATAAGTGAAGATCTGAGTCAGAATGTGTCTTCTTTGCTTCTTTGCATCTGCTGCTGTTCTGCATTTTAAAGGTAGAGACTCTTGATATTTTTTCATTCCTGTTAGTTGGTATTTTCTTCATACTTTGTTTTTTCAGAAAACAATTATTAATTCAGTAATGCAGAGTTTGTGTTCTTTGTTCCTTTCTCAGAAACTTAAAAAAAGGAAGAAGCTTGAAAGACAGATGTTAACCTATGTTTTAGTCTGACAATATTCTGATAAAACACAATATGAATTCTGAATTAAAAAAACAGTTGAACATCATTGTTTTAGGAATAGCGTTCATGTTTATGTTCACTGCTTTCCAAACATGTGGAAATATAGCGGTAAGAGCAAATGTTTCTTTTCCCTATATCTATGAGCATTGACTGTCTTCTTAATGAAACAAAAATATATATTTCAGAATGTAATATTCTCTTGATGTTTGCAGTCCTTTTCTTGCCATTTCTTTTATCTGTTATTATAACGTATGGAATTTCTTGATTGCTCAAAAAGCATAATTTTAAAAATGGAATCCTCTTTCCTCTTTGCTGGCAGAAATGATAATTCAGACTGCCTGGAAGATCCTTTCTTGGGTTACTTCTAAAGCATGTCATGATCAGTTGTCACTAGCCGTGTTAAACACCCTGACACACCCATCAAACATTTCCATTCTAGAGACTTTGATCATTCTGCCAAAGGCTTCATCATTCAGTCTAGTTCTAGAAAAATAAAAATGGTGCTTGTGATTGTCCAACTTTTCACCCAGAGATTCAATCTTATGCCAATCCTGAAACACAGGAGTTAATTGTACAGTATTTCATATGGGGTAATTTTTAATGAGAAATTATCTTATTAAAATAAGGAACCCATATCTCTAGATATAAAACTTTATTAGGAAAAAGGGAACAACGAGTAAATGTAATTGGAAAGAGAATACCTCTTGCTTAAATGTAGTTAGGCAGCCTTCTGTTCTTCCTTCTTTTCCTTTTTGTCTTGAGCAATATGGAGGATAAGGCCAGCCTTGGCTTTGCATAGGCAAGCTAAATGTGCCATCTCTGGTGTCCTGGGTCTAGCCAATAAATCAGAACATTATCTAGAAGCTGGAGTTGCCTTCTTTTTGACTCTTATGATGGAATGATAGAGACTTGTCTAGTTTTACCATTGTACAAAAAGATTTTTGGTAAGAATTTTTGTGGGGAGGGGAGTATGGAAACAGTGATTTTTGTCAGTCAGGCCTCTAAGCATGATGATTTAAGGGTACTACAATGCTGTAGCAAAAACTAAGGATTTATTACTTGCCACATCATGGTTGCTGCTACAGATGCTCCTCATTTTATCTCCTATAGGCAAATGCAGATTTGGGCACACTTCTTTATCAAGCAATATGATGTTTTCCCCTTAACAGAAGAAAAGTAGATATTAAAACTAGTTAGATTTTTTACTTTTGTTTACTTCCTAATGTAACATTCTTTGATGCAAATTTAATTTAAAACAACTTGATTTACTTAGGATATTAATTGCAAATACTTTGACCAAGTAATTGTAAACAGGCATATTTAATATTTGTATTTATAGTGACTTCCGGGTGTGTTTTGTATTTTAAAACTTAAATACATTTTAAAAACAATCTGGATAATAGTTCATATTGTTAATCATTTTAATGTATCTTAATGTATTACAGCAAACTGTTATTACAAATTTAAATCATACTGATTTTCATGGAAGTGGCTACACAAGGTACTTTATGCTTGTCTTATTATTATTTATTTAAAGTAATTTATATGCCAGCCTAACTCAACACAGGTAGCTTACAACTTTAAAAATCAAGAATATAAAAACCCAGACCTCTCCCATTCCTGGAGCAGCAACATTCCTGGAGCAGTAATTTATTGAACATTTTAACTTGTTGCTTTTCAGGTACATTTTATGACTAGGTTCAGGCATAATGGAACAGGATAAATTCATTTTATGAGAATGAGAAATGATAGACATGTCAGTTCTTTCTCATTATCCTTTTTTGTGTGCCAGTGTTCAGAAATTCTGGCTTTCAGTTGTAAATTAAAGATCCCAGTGAAGTTCAAACTATGATTTGAATAAGACAGGCTAATAATATATTAATTTTGGCTTGTTTTCACTAAACCTAGTTTAAAAGAACTTCCATTTAAAGATCTAGGGGAATTACAATTAATTTTACTAAGATCAAAAATATTACTATTATTTGTGACCTCACCCTAGATATGCTGTACTTAATCATTTTTCCTTTATTGTTTTTGTTAAGCCTAAAAACAGGTAGAATTCTAATTTGTCTCTGAAATCTCATCGCCAGAGGAAGATCATTTAAAATAAACATGATACACAAACAGTCCAATTCCCATGGATAAAATTTGTGTATGGGTTGGGGAGAGATGTAAAAGAAGGTAGCTTGCATCTTCATGTAAAATAATTTTAGATACAGCACCTATGTGAATTAGTGTAGCAATGTGGTAGTACCATGGTGCTTGAAAAAAATTGATGTGGTTGTGTATATAAAGTGTGTATATTGACAGATTTACCAACTTTATCCATTTCCCCCCAAAAAACAGAAATTCCTCCTTACTGCTCTCTTAGCTTTCAACTACATGTTAACGATTTACTAATCATTGTTATTCCTTTGTACAGTATGGCTGTTATTTATGGAGTGTTTTCTGCATCAAATATAATTTCACCTTCAGTGGTTGCAGTCATAGGACCACAACTTTCCATGTTCATTAGTGGTATCTTCTATAGGTAAGTAAAATTGCCTCAATTCCGGATATATAATTTATGCTGATTTTCATTTACTTAGCTGCATCTAGAAGACCTGTTCTTGTTTTGTATATAATTGACTAAATGGGAAATGTATGATATATGGTAACTATTACTGTTTTAGTAGTTGGTGTTAGAATAGAATCATAAGGCTGGAAGGGATGTTGGAGCAGTTCTAGTACAATTCCCTACCCATGCCAGGAGATCTTATATCATCCCAGACAAATGTTTGTTCAATCTTTTCTTGAAAACTTCAAAAAAAAGGGGGGGGGGAGGGGAGCAGATCCAGGAAACTGCAGACCAATCAAATCAGCCTGCCATCAATACCTGGAAAAATCCTGGAAAAGATAACCAAGCAACAGATCTACAAACACTTAGAAGTAAGCAAAGTTATAATCAGAAGCCAATATGGATTTGTCAAAAACACACCATACCAAACAAATCTTATTTCATTCTTTGACAAAGTGACTATATTAATGGACATAGTGTACTTGGATTTCAATAAGCTAGAAAAATGTGGGATAAACAGCATCAGTAGTAGATGTATGCTGCCAAATCACACTCAACGTGTAATCTCCAATGGAACTACATCCATATGGAAGAAAGGAAGCAGTGGCGTACCCCCAGGTTCCTTTTTTAGGCCCAGTACTTTTCAATATCTTCACAAATGAGTGAAGATATCTCCCACAAGATGAGGGAATAGGAGGGGAACTTATCAAATTTGCAGATGACACTAAGCTGGCAGAATAGCCAGCACCTCAGATGACAGACTCAGGATCCACATGGATCTCGAAAGACTTGAACACTGGGCCCTATCCAACAAAAAGAAATTCAGTGTAGAGAAAAGTAAGGTCTTATACTTAGGCAGGAAAAACCAAAGGTACAGGTACAGATTAGGTGAAACCTGGCTCAATAGCATTAAGTGTGAAAGGGAGTCTTGGAGTCCTAGTGAACAATCACTTAAATATGAACCAGCCCTTTGTGGTAGCAGTCAAAAAAGCCAAAGCCATCCTGGGTTGCATTAAAAGGATAGAACCAAGAACACATGAAGTACTAGTACTGCCTTATAAAGCCTTAGTAAGACCACACTTAGAATACTGCATCCAGTTTTGGTCACCACGTTATAAAAAGATGTTGAGGCTTTAGAAAGAGTGCAGAGAAGAGCAGCAATCCCTGCATACCGGTTAGGGGCCTGGAGGCTAAATCATACCAAGAATGGTTACAGGAATTGGGTACAGCTAGTCTAGTGAAAAGAAGGACTAGGAGTGACATGATAGCAGTATTCCAATATTTGAGGAGCTGCCACAAAGAAGAAGTGGTACAATCTATTTTCCAAAGCACCAGAAGTTAAGAGAAGAAACAATGGATGAAAACTAATCAAGGAAAGAAGCAACCTGGATTTAAGAAATAATTTTCTAACCAGTGGAACAGCTTGCCTTCAGAAATTATGGATGCCCCATACTGGAGGCTTTTAAGAAGAGACTGGACAGCCACTTGTCTGAAATGATATGCTTGAGCAGAGGGTTAGACTAGAAGACCTCCAAGGTCCTTTCCAATTCTGCTATTAAATATGTTAAATATCTAGTTAAGCAGGTAAAGATAGGACTTAGAATTAATTGGGAGAGGTAAAAACAACTGAAAATTAATCAAGTACAGATTATTCCCAACTAGCGATAAAAGTTATTTTACAAAGAACTGTGAGCATCGCATTATGCATATTAAAACTATTTTCTTTTCAGCTTATATATTGCCATCTTTATCCAGCCTATTACCTGGAGTTTCTACACAGCTTCAGTTTTCCTTGGAATAGCAGCTGCTGGTAAGCTCTTCCTCTCAAGATGCTCTCCATTTTATGAAGGAATTTATTTTGCTTTTGGTGGAATTATGAGATTTGGGTGGATTCTGAGTAATATGGACCATTTTATAATTTGTTTCCCACACTTTTCTCATTTTCCATTGAGTGGAATGCACGCAATGCTAACAAGGTAGTAAAATTGTTCTTAACCATTAGAAACATTACATAAAAGGTAAAGGAATCTCTAACCCCAACCCACCCCCGACACAAGCAGTGGTGCTTGGAATTACATTTTCCCCCTCTTAAGGCACAGCACATTAGGCAAGAAATTGGTACTATGGAATTCAGATTTGCTAAGCACCTCTTTAACTTGTCTTTGTTCCCAAGATTACAATGATATTCCAGCTAAAGTTGCAATCACTTTGAACAATACTCTCTGTAGTTTATAAAGTATGCATTATATAGGTTTGTTGTTGAAAATGCAAAATAAGTATCAAAGAGATTCATATTCCTTAAAAGTTTGTCAATTATTGGAGCTTCAATTATTGGAACACTGGCTAGAATACCTTAATATAATTTTAATACTTAATAGGGTTAGCTGTAAGCATTTGTGAAGCAACCTTGAGATGCATCCAAATACATGATGTTACTGAAAACATTTTCAGATACCAATATAAATGAACTTTAGAAGATTTCTTTTCTGTTTACATTAATTCTTCTTACATTTGCAGTATTATGGACTGCTCAAGGAAATTGCCTAACAATAAATTCAAATGAAAACACAATTGGCAGGAACAGTGGAATTTTCTGGGCATTATTGCAGTTCAGGTAAATAATTAAACTCTTGCTTTTGGTTAAATCATATGCTATGAAATGAAATCAAAATTCACAGACTGCAATGGAGTCCTCTCCCTTTTGCATCTCCCAATTGACCCCTAATTTATTCTGGAGGCTTGGGAACCCACTAAATCATTTTTTAGGCAAATAAAAGCTAAGGGAAGAAGAAATCACCCAATACCAGAAAGTGCACTGCTGGTGCTAATATAAAAAACCCTTTTCTGGGAAACAAATATGTGATTAGGCTGTCTTTAGATATTTAAAGCAAGATTGTGGAAGTACAACTTATAAACTGAACTGTCAGTTTTGGAGCTTACACAGAAAAAATGTGCTTTCTGGAATTACAGTTCGCTTCAGGTTCTGCTTTCTGTTATAATTATCATTTAAAGAGTCCTAAATGGGAACAAGAGTCACTGTGTCTCATCTGTGTCATAGGAAAATATTTGAGGGCATTCAGAATTTTCCATGATTTTATTATAAAGTAAGTTAGTGAGTATGAATAGTATGTTCAATTTAGAACATATTTTGTGCCTGGATCGCTTAGATTGCTTTGACCTAGACCAGGAAAATTGAAATCCAGCTTCTACTTTAGCCAATGAACTTTGGTCAAGCGTGGGACTAGTCCCTTGTTCTCTACCTCTTTTACATGATTCTAATGAGGATGTTCTTGGGTTGGAGTTGCAAATTGTGTATGATATCTGGTGCTTCCTGAAAGGAAATTGATAATTGATACTTATTAAGCAAAATAGGCAAGATGGACAGCAAGCAAATTTAAATAAAATAATCAAAGGAGCTTAGAATAAAGATGAAACCATCTTTCAAATCGGATAAAATAATTCAAAAGCAATACATCAGTTAAAATAAAGAGTTGCTAAACAAAAAAGCAGGGGTCTGTGTTCAGCACAGCATCGCCCTGACAGGTGGGCAGTGTCCAGCAGCACCACTAGGAGCAGCAGACCTCACCACCCAGCAGTTAACAAGATAAAAAATGATCACAGAGTATGCGCCATCCAAAATAAAATGTTCTTTATCTGTTTGTATAGATAGAAACAAAAGGGTTTATTATCAATGACCACTGCCATTACTGCCTTGGGAAGAGTGTACTGGCAAAACAAGGGTGTAGTGCCTAGAGTTCAGATTTTAAAACCCTATGAATTTCCAAAATAGGATTCTAAAGATACTGTAGTTAAACAATGTTTCTTTAAATTGAGATCAATTGGTAACTTCATAGACACGTTTCGGTAGTTTTCTGAGGAATAATTCCAATTTATTTCCCATTATTTCTTTAAAGAGATATTTTGATTTTCCCAGTATAGCTTGCAGCCATCTGGTAGTTTCTGCCCAATACTTAAAGATTAAAGTAGTTTCTGCCCAATACTTAAAGTTTCTGCCCAATACTTAAACTAAGCTTACTTAGTTTTTCCAGGTTAACCAAAGTCAGCTAAGTTCTGCTGCTCTGGTTCATGGATAAATTGGTAGCTTAACCTAGCACTTTAAACTGATTCCAGAAACAAGTGGTTTTTTTAAAAAAAAAATCAACTAGATCTAAAGGTGGGAAGGAGGGAGCCACAATTTCAAAGGTTGCAGGAGGAAAGTTGTGTTCATTCCTACTTTTAATTTTTAAATCAAATGCAGAATTTCCTCTTCAATTATTTTAAACTTTGCAGTTATGTCCTGCTTCCATATATTGGAATTTTTGTTTCCATCATTGGGATCAAATTCCTAGGCTGCTTCTTATTGAGCCAAAATATCCATCTACTTTAACATTTATGCTGTGAATTTTCCATGATTGTCATGGAAACTTCTCTTTGTGTTGCACTTCAGTTCTCATAGTTGCTAGCTGTTCTGACCAAAAGTCCTACTGACAGGGACTATGGGAATTGAAATCTAAGTCACCAGTGGGCATTAGTCTGAAGAAGGCTGATGTAATAAAAGAAAAACCTGCATATCTTGGGAAGATCAGCTCTTACTGTTTGGAATCTACTTGCAATGCCAATATAATTTACATTTTACATATAAATCCCTGAGATTATTTGAGGTTTATTAAGATTTCAATTTTGATTTGAACTATAATTCACCTCTTTCTTATATAAAAATAATGCATTAACCACTAGTTATCTTCTGTTTATAGCTTGTTTTTTGGAAATCTCTACATATATTTTGCCTGGCAAGGGAAAACTTACATATCAGGTTGGTATTGTTCATGAAATCCTTTGAAGCCTGTGTATTTAGCCTACTGTCTCCATCACTGATTTTTTACAATATCTCACTGAATACTGTACAAATCCCATTTTAAAATATGTTGTGTTCCTTGATATTTCATCACCTACACCCAGACAAGCAAAATAATTCACTGTCTCAGCAGTTAGATAAGAAGAGGAAAAATTTGTGTGGAAGCATTGTTTTGCCTGAAATGGACAAGCAAATACTCTCCCACTCTTCTCATCTTTTCCATTTCCATTTCCATTCTATCTTGGTCCAGCCAACTACCTATAAAGACAGCTGGGTGACTTTGGGCCAGTTACTCTCTCTCAGCCCAGCCACCTCACAGGGCCGTTGTTTGGGGAAAAATAGGAGGAAGTTGTGTTGAATATACTTGCCACCTTCAATTATTTGTAAAAATAATAAAGGCAGGATACAAATAAAATAAAAATTTAAGCTACATCAGTGCAGTTTTGTTCACATTTTGGATGGGGTAGGAGAGACAAACAATTGTCTCATGCTATGATGTTACCTGTGCATTGCACAATGATTTAAGATATTCAACTTATCTACAGTTTGCTAAGCATTTATTTGAACAAGGTTTTGTGATTTTCATATTAAAAATTAATCTATATTGACCCTGGATAATGTATGAAGACTAATGCCAATTCTTATAATTCATAATAAAACATTAAAAAGGAATCCTTATTTTTTTCTCATTCCCTAATCTTCATTTTCTGCCTTGTGACGGTTCTTTGTGTTTCAAGGACTGAACACAGTTCAGTGAAGCAAAACTGTACACAATGCTTTATTGCACACATGCATTCCCCATCACAGATTATTGCTATGGATAAACTCTATCCTAGGATTTGCAAGGTGATGTTGCCATGTAAATACATTTTTAATACTCAGGCCGTTATACTCAGTCTTTTAATACTCAGATCACATAGAAGTCTCAAATTCTTTTAAATAGCATACAACTTTTGCCTTTCCACCCAAGTTCCTGCGTTAGTTAAGATGGAGTGCTATTTTTGTGTAGTTGCTTCTTTCCTAGTTGGTATTGAACTCTTTCCTAGTTGGTATTGTCTAAAGTTCCAGGTTCCAGGCAGGACTCCCACCAGGATTGCTTATCATTTTCTCCTATTCACTCTTCCCACTCTGTCTTAGTATTTGCTTTCTTAAGCTCAAAAGACTGGATGAAATGAGGCTGCCTCTAGATATCAGCATGTCCTTGAAAACACCAGGGTGTGGTTCAATTAATCAGGCATTTGGAACATAGACTTATATGCCTGTGCGTACTATACTTGAGGAAAGTGTGTGTGTATTAGTGTGGGCTTATCTGTATGACTGCAGCTACTTTTGAAAAGAGCAGAGACTTCATTCTCTCAGGGGCCTGATTTTTATCTCAATGACTACACTGTATTGTAATTAAAAATGTGTATCTATTTTGCGGTGCCATTCAATTCATCTAGGGCAGGGGAGTCAAACTCAAGGCCCGCTGCCTGGATCCGGCCCACGAGGTGTTTAAATCTAGCCTCTGGGGCCAGCCTGGAAGTATCAAAGGACCAGCCCGCGGTGCCCCCGCACCTTGTTTTCACTCTCCAGGGTCTCCTGCAGCACTCTGCTGGCCAAAAATGGCCAGAAAAATGGCCAGAAAAATGGCCAGAAAACAGCCCAAACACCGCCTGAAAAGGGCCTGAAAATGGGCCAAAAAAGGGTGAAAAATGGGCTGAAACAGGCCTGAAAACAGCCAGCAGAGTGCTGCAGGAGTCTATGGAGTGTGAAAACGAGGCGCAGGGGGCGCTGCGCACAGACCCCCTGCACCCTGTTTTGGCTGGCAGGGTGCTGCAGGAGGCATCCGCCCCTTCCTTCCTATCTTTCTTCCTATCTTTCTTTCTTTCTTTCTTTCTTTCTTTCTTTCTTTCTTTCTTTCTTTCTTTCTTTCTTTCTTTCTTTCTTATCTATTTATTTATCTATTTATTTCCTAGTAATTGCCTATTAAAGTGATTAACTCCATGATCATATAAAACAATGTTAATATACATAGTTATTTTCAAATACAGAATCTTAGTTTGATTTGTGAAAAATTACTGACATTTGTTACGAATGTAAATTTTTTTCTGTACTTTATATTTTGTTTCATCTGAAAAATATCCTGAATATTTTGGTAATTTTGAATGATTACACAGTTCGTTGAAGAAGGTATAATACACTATTTTACTTCTTCACAGAAAGCGACCGTAGGACTGTCTTCATCTCTTTGACAGTGATCAGTCTAGTGGGCACCGTTTTGTTTTTTCTCATTAGAACTCCAGAAGAAACAATTTCAGAAGAAGAGGAAAGCACTGCTGAAACCATTGCAGATAACATGTAGGTGCTAATGGCTTTGTCAACTATTTCTATTCTTTTTTGAATAAGAAATGATGCTTGTATTTAATGCAGAGAGGCATTGTAACTAGAAAACAATCCATTTGCCCCAGTTACTCAGGGTAGGAAGAATGCTTAAATTTAAACTACAACTGCAAGATAATTTACATGAAACTACATACCTAATTTATGTAGGAAAATTAATTTGCATTGATATATTTTTATGTTGCACGATACTGGGCAGTTTGATAGGGGGAATTCATGAAAAAAAAAAGTGATGTCAAAAGTTTAATGCACATATAATTTAGGTTAATGGCTTATTTCTGAATCAGTATTTCCTATGTTGATATTTTAACTTTTTTAATGACAAATGGTATTGAGTAAAGGAAAACATTGATAATGATGCAAAATAATGATTTTCTTAATATATTACATATTTTTTCACTTTAAATAAATACTTGTTTTATCAGGTCTGGCCAAAGTAAAACATCAAGGGCCATGGATGCAATAAGTAAGTAAAAGTTCCCAGGGCATTTTGATAAGTTCAGCAAGAGTCAAGTACAAATGGTTACAAATCCTTCTTTCTTAAGATTTCCCTCCTCAAGGAAGCAGAGACATAATGTTAGTAGCTATAAATCTTGTAACATTGACTGTTTTAGGTGCAGCTGGGCTAATTGTTTATCCTGCTTTGGCTCGCAAAGTTGGTATAGTCCACTGATTTGTTAAGCTCCATAGTGTACTTATGTTCAAAACTGTGAGTACCACCAGAGAAGAGCTCAGTATCATTGAGGGAGAAAGGGGTATTGAAATCAAGCTCAGTTTCCCATTTTTGAATGACAAATCAATGAAGATTCTCATCACATCAAGTTTAATTAAATATTTTCATTTTGCATTCTCTGTAGAAAGATCGTTCAAGTTGTGTGCAACAAAAAGGATTTTGCTACTTAGTGTCACAACAGCCTATACAGGTAATGTGTGCAACAAGAGTGAAAATACCAATCTTGAAAGTTTATGCAGTACATACATTTGTTATATCTCTTATGTTTTTCTAAATGTTTTCAATCCTGTTCAGTCTTTGGTTTCTTCATGAAAATCAATTAATGACATTCCTTTTTGAAATTATTGCATGAATTTATGTCACTGTAATTCATGGGGCTGTGAGGAAACTATGGATAGTCCTTGACTTATGACTGGTCGTTTAGTGACTGTTTGAAGTTATGGCAGACCTTTCCAAAAGCTACTTTTTAAAAAAAGTTTTATTGTACAGTTTTCCTTAATTTACGTAACTGTTCACAGTTATACAATGCCGTTGTGTATTGGTTTCATAAAGTCCCTTTTTTCCCTTCCCATCATGTTATACATCCTAATTAAAATTATCCTGTAATATAATTTCTCCATCATATCATACATCCAAATTATCTCTATAAGCTACTCATGACTTGGTTCTGAAGTTATAGCCACTACAACTCCACCACAGCTGCAGCACCCCTGCCTATCTCTCCCACCAGATTCCTCCAGGTGTTGCTTGCTTCCCACCCCACTGGGCTTCACACTCTTCTCCTCACTTACCTTTGGAAGATCTCTGTAGCTCAGGTTAGGGAAGGAGGCAGGCTGTTATTGTGGGGCCACATGATACAATTCTAGAAGTGGCCACCATTTTTCAAGTAGCTGTATTGAATTACGTCAACTTGGAAAATGGTGGCCTCTTCCAGGATTGCACCATGTGGCCCAGCAACAGATCAACTTGCTTTGCTGCTCTAACCTGAGCTCCAGAGAGCCTCAAAAGGTATGTGCATGATGGGTGATTCAAGGTGAAGATGATGATGTTGGACCTAGTGGGGTGGGAAGCAGCCAAGGACTGTAGCAACCCCAAAGGGTGGGAAGTGGAGTTTGGAGTATCTTGGGTAGGGGGGAAGACCTTGGGAGCCCATAGGAGCGCCTGCACTAAGTCTTCCAGGGCCCCCCTCGGTATACCTGAAGCACCCCATGCTGTCTTCATTGGGGGCAGCAGGGCTGGAGGATTGTAAGTGAGGTAGTCATGTGGGTGTATTACTTAATGACCATCATGACTTCCAACCATAATTGGCATATTCCATTACGGTCATGCATCAAGGACTACACACCTGTATAGAGAATGTTCCTAAGAATTCTTTGCAGCTAAAAACTATTTTTAAAATGAAGTGCTAATTGTTAAAGGGCCTTCTTTTGGACAAAACTCCCCCAAAATCAAAGTAATTTTCTGATTCCTTTGTATTAAAACCCTATAAGTCAACTTGACAATCCGAGCACCAATACTTCCTTACTATCTACTGCTTCTTTCTTTAAAGTGCTATACTGTTCGATTTCGCATACACTGTGGCATAAATTAATAAAACATTTTTATACTGTGATCAGTTTGAAATGTGATATCTACCCAGTTTGTTCCATTTTTACAATTTTATTTTAAACTGAATTATAATATGTTTTTATCTAGGATCTTTTTACATTGCTGAAATAAATCTTTGAAGTTAAAGGAACATCTTAATTTTAGAAAGGCATAATCTAGCTTTTGATAATTCATGGATATTTTATACTTACAAAGATATTGAATTAAGAAAAGTGTTATAATTGATCTCAATAAGTAGCAGCATCTACTTAATGGTTGATTTCAAAAATGCCAAGCTGTATTAAATCTGTTGAGCTTGGATAAGAGTCTCTAGGAAATCACAGTTCTATCTTTCACTGGGAAATTGAAAAAGAAACATCCTATATTATTGCCAAGAAAACTTCATGGACATGTCCAAGTAGTCAGCATGTCAAGTTTAACTTGTGGAAGTCTTTAATTTATTTTGGAATTGAGGTGTTGAATTTGGGGAATATTTATGGTAAAAATGCAATTAATTCAGGCCCTCATGATCTGTCAGTTAGCAAACAGCAGGGATAGCCATTTTCTTTATTCAAAGAGGCCTATCCTATTCTGAAGACTGTAATTTGGGAACCATAGTATTGTGATCCACCTATACAAAGACAGTTAATGCTCTACCATCAGGTGGTATAAAGACATTGCATATATTGAATGTTCTTGAATGTACTAATATGTTACTTATCTGCGAATTACACTGTTTTATTTATTTATTTATTTGTTTGTTTATTCATTTATTTGATTTGATATAAGAAAGAAAAATAAAAGAAACAATAGGACAGGGATGGTAGGCACGTTGGTTATGCACGACCCCTACAGACCTCTTAGGAAAGGGGTGAGGTCAGTAGTAGACAGTCTAAGGTTAAAGTTTTTGGGGTTTGGGGAAGAAACTACAGAGTCAGGCAGAGTATTCCAGACATTGATCACTCTGTTGCTGAAGTCGTATTTCCTGAAATCAAGTTTGGTGCGATTTACCTTGAGTATCTATTGTGTCTATTGTGTGCTCTTGTATTGTTTTGGTTGAAGCTAAAGTATTCATTGACAGGTAGGACATTGCAATGTATGATTTTATATACTATACTTATGATTTTATATACTATACCATCTATATATCTATATATCTCTATATATCTAAGTTCTGTTTGGTTTTTTTAATTGAGTCTTGCGAGGACTCATAGGGATATGGGAATTTTGCTAAACAATTATCATTGAAATATTTATTGAAAGTTCCCCTGAAAGTGTTTTACTTAAGGATAAATACTTGCATATAATAATGCCTGAAATAATGTTGTTTTTCAAGGGCTGGAATTAACATTCTTCTCTGGAGTATATGGAACTTGTATAGGTGCTATAAAGAAATTTGGTGTTGAAGAAAAAAGTCTTATTGGACTCTCTGGTATTTTCATTGGCATTGGAGAAATATTAGGTGAGTTCAAACAGCCTAAAATAATAGAAAATATTTTCTGATATTTAAATAAATAAATTTGATAAATAAATGTAATCAATGAATACATTTATATAATATGCATGTAGATAAAGTAATTCAGCAAAGAACTAGATAGTCCAAAATTAATTGTTAAATTTCCATTGTAGAGGAATGACCAAGTAGGCAGGTTTCACTCTAAGTAAGTTTTCCTCACAACTTTACCATTGCAAAACAAATGAACAAAGGCTAAACAAGACCCTCCCAAAGCATTTTCAGAGGATTTCTTGTTTTGATTTATTTTTGCTTTAAATTCATGAACAAAATTGTCTGACATACTTATTCTTTGCCTTCATCCTTTTGTGTCACTATAGAATATGTGAGTTCAGTACATTGTTCAATATAAAAAGCAGACATATTGTTTTGATAGAATGACATGGTTCAGTTATTCCAGTGTAATGCTACCATTAATGTAGTGCTGTTCCAGTTTGCTATGACACCAATCCATTTGTTGGCCAATACTCTTAATTCATTGTAACACCAGTCAACCTATAACCCAACACTGACAGGGCAAGGCACTATATATAAACAGAGAGCAAACCCTACCCCCTTTTAGCACTGATGACGTTACCTAGTTGGATAATGAAACATCTGCTAGAGAACAATCAAGCTCAGAGTGTTTTAGAGATCTTACTTGACATGTACTAGTATGCACTTACTGAGTCTCCTTAAAGAGACAGTGCCACCAGCAGATTACGACAGCTGAAAATATCTTCCTTATGGATGATGGTTGGTAATAAAGTGACAGCTACTGGAATTTTATAATACTATACTGTTAAGATAGGTTCTAACTGTTCCAGTTAAGATACTTCCTTATTGGCAGGAATCCTAAGAAACCAGTCTTCAAGAGAACACTTTTCTTTTAACATTTTTGGTAAAAAGCTTGTTCCTTAATTTACAACGAGCATCTGCAGTAAAGAAAGCAATTTTCTGTATGGATAATAATTATATATTTACTGTTACAGGTGGAGGAATCTTTGGCCTCCTAAGTAAGAACAACAGATTTGGCAGGAATCCAGTGGTGATGTTAGGCATTGTTGTCCATTTCATAGCTTTCTATTTGATCTTTTGTAATATACCAAATGATGCACCTATTGCTTCCATGGAAGGAACAGATAGCATTGCATTCATGAAACCAAGGTATATATTTTTACATCTTCCATTCATATTATTCTTAAAAGACAATTTGTATGTGTGTGTGTTTACAGAAGTAGTAAATAAAAATGTAGCTAATTCACTGAATTTGGAATTATTGCCCATATGTGGCAGTTTTTTCTTCTTGGTCACAATCATTTTACTATAATGAACTACCAGCATTTGAAGATCATTTTGTTATGTTTTCATTGTCAGAATGAAAGATCTAAGTTTGAGATTCCTGTATTGTGCTACTTTTTTGCATTTGTGTTTCCCTATTATAGACTAGAACTAGAAATTTTATAGACTTTTATAACTGGAAATTCTTAAATCATATAAGTTCTGTTTGAAGACAGGGTTGGGGGTTAAACTTTTCTCAGGTGAAACTATTGCTAAACAACTGGAATTCAGATACCTTAAGCTAATTTCTCCAGTCTATTCTGAGATGAATTATGAATTTTGATTAATATTCAGTATATGGTTTAATGGTCACAAACTGCAATTTAATCAAAGTGATAATAGAAACAAAATATAGTGTCTATATCACATGCACAAACCCTGAAATGGCACAGGATAATTCAAGAAAGATTTGCACTTCTCTGCTGCAAAATGGATGGATCAGAACCCATTTGATTCAAATACTGGAACTCCATAAAGTTAGACTGATCAAAAGGCACCATAGCAAAACAACAGCAATCTTTTTCTGTTTGAGATAAAATTCGTGACAGTGTTATGAGAAAGAGGCATATTAAGTTTGATTATTATTGGGTCTTACCTGAAATCAGCATCTTTAAAAGAGAACACAATTAATAGTCCCAATCAAAGCATATTGAAGGCTGGAAGAATTACAGGAATCTAATTCCATTGTTGTCCACTATTTTCAATTATAATTTTGAGTTTATTGTTTATTGCTTCTTTATTTTAGCAAAGAAGTGGCCATTTTTTGCAGTTTCTTACTGGGCTTTGGAGATAGCTGTTTCAACACTCAACTTCTTAGTATTTTGGGATTCTTATATTCTGAAGACAGTGCACCTGCCTTTGCTATATTTAAATTCATTCAGGTAATATCTATTTCCAAGTGGCAGAATCAGATGGTAATGATGTTTGGCGCCTTTTCGTCAGTTTTGGACTGACTCCCAGCAACTGCCTGGACCACAGATAGCCCTTGGCTTACAACAGTTTGTTTAACATTTGTTCGTTTATTTGTTCAAAGTTACAACAGCACTGAAAAAAGTGACTTATAAACAGTGCTCACACTTACAACTATCATAGCATCCCCCCTCAGGGTCACTGGCACTTAGCAACTGGCATGCATTATTACATAAATTTGGGCATGACTCCCTTAGTAACTCCAGCAATGGAAATTCTAGTCCCAATTGTGGTTGTGAGTTGAGGACTATTGTAATAATTGCAGTTCTTGGCAAGATTTTTTGGAAGTGATTTTCCTGATTTGTAGGGCTGAAAAAGAATAACTGGTCCATGGTCACCCAACAGGCTTTGTACCTAAAGTGGGGCTAGAAGTCATAGCTTCCCAGTCTCTAGCCTGATACTACTAAACCCAACTTTAATTATCTTCTTTCATTGGGTAAAATGTCTCAGCAGGTCATTGCATTTAGCCAACCTTGTCTCATTTGCTTACTAAGTACAATTAGACCTGCTAATATTGTCAAGGAACTACCAGAAATCCCTAGACTGGGCTAACCCCCACCCACTATTACCATATTCTGAAAGTAGTACCATACTATATTGCTATATAGTTGCCAAAGAATTTTATGGATCTATTTAATCATTAGAAATTGAGCATGGCTTAAAGGAAACTTTGCCTTTTGTGCTAAGAAAAAAGGACAGTAGAATTAATTTTTTAGAAAAGTTCCTGTGATATTATCAAGCAAAACTATAAAATAACAGTTGGGTTGTGGCAGCAAAGAATGCATACGCAATAGTATATTTTATTTGTTGTTCGATATGTATCCTGCCTTTCCTCCATCAAAATTATCCTGGACTTCAAGGTGGCATGTTTATATAAAAAAATTATTTTAGTATTTTTGCAACACTGTCTCGTATTTATTTGGAAGTAATTGCTATTGATCTCACTTACTCCAAATTAGACATGATCCATTAATACTTTAAATGATATTTATTTAATGAAATGCAAAATTGATGTATATCAATAATGTTAGACCATTCAATCTACAATTTGAAATACTGGAATACTGGAAATGCTGCATTTTGTGTACACAAACAACACTATCGCAAGAAGCAGTCTGTATATTGGACATGTCCAGTTTGGAATAAGTGTATTTGCTTCTACAAAGAAACATGATTAGGAAAGCTTATGTTCCAGTAATTAAAAGTGGAGGTGGAATGGCATTAAAAATCAATGTCTATAACTCAAGTTGACTTGTCATTAAGATTGCATTTACAACATGTTTTTTTTTCTTTTCAGTCTGTCTGTGCAGCTGTTGCTTTCTTCTACAGCAACTATTTGTTTCTTCAGTGGCAACTTCTAATAATGGCAGTTGTTGGATTTTTTGGGACAATTACGTTTTTCACAGTGGAATGGGAAGCAGCAGCCAGAAGTACAGGTTATCGCAACATTTCATAAATTCAGTGTGGTCATCCTGAAGCACCTTTCCAAACCACAAGTTGATTGGAAAGACTATGGAATACAGATGTATTTAACACCACAGTTCTAAAAGGTTTTATTCCCTTATCAATCAGTAGTGATGGACTACAATGTGGAGACTACAATGTGGAGAAAAAACCCTGTAGAGGGGACAGAGAGGCACTCTTTTTTAATCAGGTCTACTTGAGCTTAAGAATAGCCATTATGGAAATTCTACTATTGCTTTTCTTTTAATGCACACGTGGTTATCAATCAAATTCATTAATCAAATTCACTGAGACTTGAAACTAGATATAGGATTGCAATCTTACCATATGTATTTTTTTTCTGTAAAATTCATCATTGTGCATTTCTAGTAAGAGCATATGGAAAATGGAAAGTGAATTTCCAATTGAAATAAACACACTGTATTTTACATGTTCTGACAAACAGTTCTGCATAGATTACAGTTCGGTGGAATTGAAACCTAGAACATTTTGATTGTTCTGGGTTTGCGTTGAAACAATTCTGGAAGAGTCTTAGAATCTCAAACACTTTGCCCAGGAATATTTTTCTTTTTCTCTGCAAAGATTGTATATTAGCCTGCCTGCTGATTTCCTCAGGGTATTTCTTTTCCTACTCCCCCTTAGGTGCCATTGATTTCTTTTTCAAGGGTGACATATCTATCCTGGTTTTTCATAGGACCTTTCTTTGATAACCTCCCCTAAATTGAAGCCACTGATTTCCCTGCCTGATTTCCCTACACTTGCTGATGTCCTTAGCATTTTCCTGTCGCCTGTATCTGAAACATTTCTGCTAGAGCATACATGCTCCAGGCCTGGATGTGGGCCACCCAAAACAGAACACTTCATATATGGAATGTTTTGTATCTACTGTACTTACTTTGTATTGGTTTGCTGAACATCATCAGAGGAGCCAAAGTATAGCACTAAAATGCAAAATAAGGATGCATTGCCTTTTGGTAGTTGGTGTTGCACTGAATGTTGATGGTCATATATAGAGGTAAGGTTGGATTTCTGTGGAGTGTTTTTATTGTTATATACATATTTTAGAACTTCCTAATGTATTTCTGAACTCAAAATGGTGAGAAACTCTCATTGGTCTTCAGAAACCACAAGAAGAAAAGACTAAGTCACAAAAAGAGTTCACTTAAAGGCCTAGTAGGGCCGTTTATTGCCCATCCAGAACAGGGACAAGTATGATTCTTAAACATTAATTAGATTAGCAGTTTATAGCTTCAGTTCATTATACACTCATTTTAGTGCATATTTTCACTGGAGGGGCAAGCACTCAAATGTTATGAATGTATATCTATTCTACAATATCTACAAATATTTTGTCAGGTGCTAAGCTGTGTAGCAATTCTAAAATGTTTGATTGATTAGTTAAATCAAGATGATTTTTCTTGTTTTAATTCATACTTGAATCTGTGTATATTCAAACTGCAATCAATATTCACCTGGGACTGGGAGCAAACTTTAGTGAATGGAGAGGAGCTCCTTAAGTCAATTGCACGTAGGATTGGCACTGTAATCAGTTAAAACGTATGGTGGATTTAGACGTTCTTTGATTAAATAATAGACATAAATTCAATTTAGCTTTTTGTATGGAGTGCACTTTGCTTCCAAAGAGTTGTCCAATCCCTGGGAAACTTTCACAAAGAATAAAGGACAACCATATGATTGAATCTTCTCCCCCCTCCCCGCATTGCTTTAATTGAGGAATATCACAATCTTATCTAATTATAGAACTCAGTAAGTCAGGGTTTGGCATTCTCAATGCAGAACATGTCTGAAGTCAGCTATAAGGGAATACAAAAATTGTGATCAGTTCTAGAAAAATGTGGACATAGAACTGTATCTCAGTTTTGAAAATAGCATGCTTCAAAACCTCGTTACTGCTACTTTGTGTATAAAATAATATTTTTGCTTACCATTCTGTTGAAACAGTACTATGTGGAGAAATAGTACTACATAAAAACAGTGAATGGTTTCTGTGTTTAGTATATGCTTTCTTATTTGTATATATAAGATCATGGCAAAATTGATACTGAATGTAATTTATTTAGTAGTCTAGCCATAACAGCTATTCACTTTTAAGAGAGACATATCTGTCAATGCTAAGTGCTAGGGGAAAGTTTTGCCACTTAGCAAGGCAATTTTTATTAACAGATTTCAAAGTGGTAGCTTGTATGCAGGAAAAAGAATTACAGAATTGATTTTACTTCATAAAGCCAGGAACATTAAAATCTTTCCAATTCTGACTCCAGGTGAAGATTGCAGATGACAGGGTAAATTGATTTGTTCCTTAGATCCAAACAAATAATTGCCAAAAAAACCCTAAAGTAATTTTAAGCCAAACTATTTTCTTGTAAGCATCTCTTTAAGTTTGTAATCCAGCATCATATTTGTGGATTTGAGAGCTAAAGATGGTCAGAAAAAATTAGGAGGATATAGAAATTTAGGAAAAGATATGTAATTGAATTAGAAAGGAATGAGACAATTATAATATAAGACTGACGAAATTAAAGGAAGGAAAAATTAATGAGAAATTGATAAAACAGTGATGAGATATGAAATTGAATACAAAAGATGAGTATGTAAATGAGATTATATCTGTATGGAGGTGTGATAACCTGGAATCATGCTGTTCTCTAAAAAAAGATGTTCTACTTTTATTATGTTTTATAAAAACTCAGATAAAATTTTTACAAAAAAAAAGAAAGAAATTATCCTGATTAAAAAACAAAACAGTTTACCTGTAGCTTGACCTAGAAGTGGTTATTTGTGTCCTTGAGATACAGTTTTGATTCTGAACATTGGTAGAAAGCAAAACTACCAAGAACCTAATGATGCTCAGCCTTTGTAAAGATAGGAAATTAGTGCCAATATTAATTCCATCTATTCAGGTGATGTAGAAGCTCATTAATAGAGGCTGGGATATTTAAAAAACTCCAGTTGATTGAAAAATGACTAGGTTGAGCAATTAGATAGTAATATACTGTATATATTTAGTTGTTCCAAATGGTTATGTCCAACTAAATGATTTCACATTTTGATTTTGTTGATATAGTTGTGTTATCTCTAGATGTTCATTTTTTTAAAAAAATATGAAACTATCAGTTACATGATATGGCTTGAAATACTTCTTATAAATTAATATTGCTTATTTTTATGATTACAGAAATAAAACAGATCAATAAATAAATTTTGCAAAAAACTTCAGAGGCTTTTAATGTAAATGTACTGTATGCGATGATTACGCACATTTTAAAAATGTGTGGTTATTAAAAAATAGCTATGGAGCTGTATTGTTCTACTAACCTGTTTCACTTTCTTATTTGATAATGGCCTTAATTGCCCTTAATTTTATGCTGGTTTTAAACCATTTTATAAATAGTGCTAATGATAAATGGAATTCTAACACAGTGGCATTTTAAAAACTCATAAAATTTATTTTTCTAAATTTCAAAGTTGCTTATAAAACAAACAATAAAAATTGTCCTGATGTCTAAAGTGAAGTCAATATGCTATCCCTCCCTACCAGAAGAAGCTATAGAATCTGACCGTTTCCCCCCCAAGGTATGAAACTAACACAATACAAACTCTACCCTTTATGCATACTGCAGCTCCATTTTATTCCTATCCCATGAGTGAAATAGGTTTAAACCATAGTTAACACTTCCAGTATTAAAAGTTGTATGGGGGTTGTTGTTGTTTTAATCTTTTTATTGGTGGCTCTTAAGGGCAGCTCCTAGTAGTAACAGCTACATTGGGAATTTTTTTAGAGTTTAAAAAAGAAACACTTGGTTTGGAATTATTTTGAGGTTACATGATTTTTATTTATATCTTCTGAGCTAGCAGGGAATAGAAGAGATAATACAAACACACACATCCAAGACAAATAGACTTTCACTTCCCTTTTCCTGTTCACTCAAACTAATCCAGACTAAGTCTGGGATTGCTATTAGCTGATAAAATACAGCAACAGCTGCCAGGTGCATAAAATCTATTGTGTTTTGCTACCCATCTCACACAGGTAGCTGAGGGACTAGGGGTGGAATCAGGGTGTTGATAGCATCTGTTCCAGGCCAACGTAAACACCCCACCCCAATGGACCATGACAGCCTTGCTACCACTCTGCTACTTTAAAAAAGCTGGACGCAGCAATACTATGCAAGTTGTCTATTACAACTGCAATAGCAGTGGCTAAATACTTTATTAGAAATCCTCTAAATCCTACTAAATTAGAGCAGGGCTGGAATAGAATATTGAGCAATCTGGAAGTTGGCATTTGTTGCCTACAAAAAGAGAACTCTTAGTAAAAGTGTTGCTTCTTTCATTTGTAACTAAAAGAGCATACTGTTAAGTTATGAATAAAGAGGGTTTAAGTACAGAGATACCAGCAGGAGCTTAGAAAAGTCAGAATAGTACAACTACGCCCGTTCCTTTTTTAGCATTGTGATCAGTGGACATTTTTCTTGTGATCTGGTGATTCAGAGAGGGAAAATAGCAAAGCCAGGGATCTCAAGCAATTGCTTTGCCAACGCATGCTACACATACAAAATTGGGGAATGGCAGCATTTAGAAAAAAATCAAAGTAGACAATATGGATTGGCAACAGGATCAACAAATTGCATGTTAGCATATATTTTTGTGAACTGAAAGGATGGATGACATTTTAATTCTAGGGAACAATTTCTTGGGAGAAAACCTGTGTAGTGTCCTTTTTAATTTGGCCATACTTCCAGCTTTATCAAACCTTACATTCACTAGCACTGATTATATTGCCTAGTTGAGTCTAGAGAGCACTGGATAGGGGATGGCTAAAATATTAGGAGAGGACTTGGTGGTATTTCATCCTAAAATATGTTTCACACAGTCATGTCTTTAATAGAAGAGAATATTTGTAGCTCATGGCTGAACTGTGAAGTTCTTGGTACTTTCTGAATTTGGTTGTTCGGTTGCAGCCATTTCATTTCTCACCTAGGTAACATAAGAAAACTCTCTTGCACTGATGATATTATCTAGTTGGGTAATAAAACTTCTGCAAATCACCAAGCTCAGAGAGCACCAAGAATTTTGCCTATCCACTTGCTAAATAAACAGATAATTTTTGTTAAAGTAGCCTCTTGGTCTAGGTTAAAATAAGCTACTATGCAGGAAAGGAGCAGCAATTTATTATACGCAGAAACCACAACTTTTGACATTTGTTCAGAGATCTATAAAGACTTCAGGAGTAAATATAAATGGTTGAATCAGGGAGATGAGGCAAAAAAGGTTAGGATTTTTCTTGACCTTCTACACAAATCAATTAATGGATAGGGTTTCCTTGAATGTTGGATCAGCAAATGCATGAACAGAGGAAAAGCCTATTTTCATTATTTTACTGAAAGCAGTTCAAATCCAAAGTGTAAGAAAGCCATAATTGGCTGGTTTGCAGTGTATTCATTCCCAACTTTAAAAAACAAGCACATTTATTATGGCAGAAACTTTTGTCAGTGCATAGAGTTTAAAACTGAATAAGGAGTAAGTGCACAAATAGTAGTGGAAAAAGGTGAAGGTTAAAATAGGGAAGTAAGGCAATCAGAGAACAATAAACTGGGAGATCTAGACTGTTAATTCTGTATTATGGTAATTCAGATCAAGCTGTTCGGGTCAACTTGAAATGATAATGCCATTGACCTTGATGAGTTCTGTAGCAGCTATTTTGAGAACAATAAACCTCTTTCACTGAGCTAAATGGTACAACCCTTGTGGAATTAAAATGACCCTCCATTTGGGCTCCCATGTCACATCCTGGCCATTTGGCAAATCCTCTTCCTTTCCCCCCATATGTAATAATGCTGACTTTCCCTATTTTTTATGTAATTCAGTTGTTTGCTGTATTTGGTGGGGGAGAAGATGGAATATTTCCTGATTTATGCTTTTATAATTCCTTCGAATGTATACCGGTGGGTGCACTGCTAGTCCATATTATAATTTTAAAAATCTTGTATAATTTTATGCTTTCCCATCTCTTTCTTCTCTATTACTTCAGTTAATCTCTTTGGCAAGTGGAAAGTCCCTTAATATTTTAAAGTAGTCAAGAAACAAGATCTTTTTTGTTAAGGGAATTGTTAATATTTCTGTTTGTTTTTCAGTCTCATTCATTTCCCCCAAATGTTGAAGTAATGAGAAAATTGAGAGCCAATTTGGTTTAGTGATGAAGATGCTGGCCTAGACACCAGGAGACAGCGAGTTTTTGTCCTGCCTTAGGCTTGAAAAACTGACTGGGAGACTTTGGGCCAGTCATTCTCTCTCAGCCCAACCTACCTCACAGGGATGTTGTTGTGGGGAAAATAGGAGGAGTGAGGAGTATTAGCTGTGTTCACCACCTTCAGTTTTTAAATAATAAAAAAGACCAGATAAAAAATCTTGAGGAAAAAAACAAGTTATAGAAATGAGATCCCTCAACTGCCCTAGTTGAAAGTTTTTAAGTCTCATCCACACATGTTCTTTGGCCCAGTGCTGAGATGGTCTGCTTACCATTTGAGGATATATCATCACAACAGAGCCTCCATGCTGATGTCAGTTGAAGCAGGGTGAAGCTGGATCAAAGAGGTCCAGTAGGGAAACAGTATTTCTCATCAATAAATAAATAAATCTTCACATGCCAGCATCCAGATGTTTATGGAAATCAAATCAGAGAGATATCAACATGTCTCTTTTTGTCTCCTTCCCACCTGCTTTCATGCCTTCTTTCATCTTACCTCTCTTCTCAATTACCATATTTTTTGCACTATAAGACACACTTTTTCCCACCAAAAGGTGGGTGGAAATGTCTGTGCGTCTTATAGAATGAATGTTGCTGAAGTCCCAACCACCTGCCGGCCCCTGCCTCCCAGCAATTTGCCTCCTTGTAGCAAGCAGTAAACAGCCTGGTCAGCTTCAGCACAGCCTAATTTAGCATGAGCTGGCGATTGGCGGTTGGATCGGCCTCCCAGAATACTGCCAATCAGCTGTTCCAGGCTGCGGGGATCGCCACTGCCTATCACCGCCTCTGCACACCCCATTTTCAGCCTCAGCGCATCCCATTTTTGGCCTGTTCCAGGTGGTGGGGATCGCTGCCACCACCACCTATCACGGCAATTGGCGGTGGTGGCGATCCCTGATGCCTGGAATGGGCCAAAAACAAGATTTGCGGAGGCCAAAATTGGGGTACATGGAGGCCAAAAATGGGACACACAGAGGCCAAATATGGGGTGCATGGAGGCGGCAATAGGTGGCAGCGATGGGCAGCTGCGATCCCCGCAGCCTGGAATAGCTGATAGGTGGTATTCCGGGAAGCTGATCCAACCGCCAATTACCTGCTCGTGCTAAATCAGGCTGTTCTGAAGCTGACCAGGTGTTTGCTGCTTGCTGCAAGGAGGCAAATTGCTAGGAGGCAGAGGCAGATTTTTTTTTTCCTGTTTTCCTCTCCAAAAGCTAGGTACATCTTATGGTCTGGACTGGAGCGTCTGATAGTGCAAAAAATACGGTATATCTCTGGTCTCCTTTTCAACTGCCTCATCTGTGTTTTCCATCAATCAAAATCACCTCTGACTTGATTTCAATTATATTAATGCTTTTACATGATTCAACAGGAAACCAGTGTGATCAGGGCCAGTTATTCTTTTTACAATGCAACTGAGCATTTCTGATTGATAACTGCATCCAGTTCCATATATCTTTCAACCAGGTGACAAGTGATGTTGTAGGCAATATTATGCATTCTCTCCATTTAATCTATTTGCAGTATTTTGTGACTGGGAAAAATGCCATTCCAGCTGAAATACCTTTTTGCTACCATTCTGAAACTGATTTTATATAATCAACTCCATGGAAAAACAAAAATAGAACGTGTAAAAGCTCCAGTCTTGCTCATATATCTTCATATGACCAGAGAAATGCCAGCTGGGCCCTTCCCTCTTTCCTTGCCAGTTGAAAAGTTTCCTCTAACATTACTAATGCTCACCAACACTAACAGGGCAAGCCACCAAAATATAAACTGACAGCAAACTGCACTCCTTACTAGCAGGTGAAGATTTGTTCTCAGAGCTTGTGTGTTGGTTTCCAAACATTTCGTTACCAGGCTAGGTTACATCTTCAGCGGAGTTTAGGGGATGTGAGTGTCATAGTTCTTCTGTTTTAAGGGATAAACCTTTATAATTTGGGTACCCTAATTTGGGTAATGAAACGTCTGCAAGAAAACAAGCAAGCTGAGAGAACAGCAAGGACCTCTCAGTTTCCTCTAAGTCTGAAAAAGCATTAGGAACAGGCTACCATTGGATTATCTTTCTGTTTTAATTCATGAATTGGCAAATGATTCTGCCTTCTTTTGTTTCTATTTTAACATTTTAATGTATATTTTAAAAATCGTTGTATTTTAATCACTAAATTGAAGCCATTTTACTAGCCAAAAGGAAGATCGTGAATGGTACAACAAACCTTCCTACATAATGCTCCGAAAATATTGTCAAGGGAACCCTTAAAGGGCATCTGCCAATGGACTATGCTACACTAATTTGTGGAATTTCTCCCCATGGAGCAAGTGTTCCTCAGGGACATCCTTGTTGAGGAGGAGCTGTAGTTCAAAGCAGTTGTAAGATTCAAAAAAATTTACTACGGTTCTGCAGGCATGGCTTGGTGGGCATGGCAGGGGAAGGATGCTGTAAAATCTCCATTCCTACACCACTGTGGGGGAAGGTTACTGCAAAATCCCATTCCCACCCCATCCCACTAACCCACTTTCCAGCTCCATTCTCCTGTGCAGGGAAACAAAAGAAGACCCAGCCGCACAGCTGGGACTCAGGAAGCAGAGAATAGATGGGGGCTGGGCCAGTCAGAGGTGGTATTTGTCAGTTCTCCAAACTACTCAAAATTTCCACTACAGGTTCTCCAGTACTGGTCAGAACCTGCTGAATACCACCCCTGATTCAAAAGCAAAGACATGTCCTAGGTCAATCCTTGACACTTTTGCTCCAGTTTGAAAAATATCAGGTAACTTTATGCCAATGACTCTGGAGTGGATTGATGCACTAATATTCTGAGTTGTTATTAGGTTCCCACTTCCTTAGGGTTAATTCTGCAAGAACCTACTATCCACAGTTCCATTTCATGCAAATATCAAATTCAAATTAAATGATTTCAAGACAACAATAGACCCCAAAGGAACCAAGAAAAATAACCATACTATGAACAAGCAATAAAGCCATGATGCATGGCACGTAGAGCAGGAGAACCAATCAAGTGTAGCAGTTAAGGCATTAGGCAAGAAACTAGGAGACTGTGAGATCTTAGGCACAAAGCCATCTGAGTGACCTTCGGCTAGTCCCTTTCTCTCTCTCTCAGCTCTAGGAAGCAGACAAAAGCTAACCATTTCCATATTCTTAGTTTAGTTTATAGTCCTAGTGATAATCACTGCAAGCAGAACAACTATTTCTTCATAAAATCTGGTTGTCTTGTCTGATGAGAATAATGCAGTGTTCATAGTTGTACTCACTATATAACGGGAAGCAATCAGGCTGTGGGCATAATCTGGGTTATATTGGAAGAGACATTGCTTGAATGATACACTACAGCAGCAGAGCAGAATTCTGTTTTACCAGCTGAGCAGCAGTCTCTTATCAGTTCACCAAGGGAAAGGAGGACTCAGTCTAGGCTGACCTGACCTTCATTCCTTCCCCTGATACCATGGAAATTTTCCAATAAGTCCAGAGGCATAGACACAGTCAATTTATGTACAAATGTAATTGTTCTCCCTACATAGTTGGAAGAGGAACTACTGTATATATATGATTCAGTTTTCTTTAAAGTTTAAGTTTTGATATTGTGCCATATATCTGTAATTATTTATGAAAATGGCTGCTGTGGATAATTGTAACTTGTAAGTCACAATCACATGGGTCCAAATCATGAATTTCTATGGGACTTCTTGATTTTCATGTTAGCTACCCATATTTTCATGAAAGATCCTTTGCTGCTTTTATTGTAAAGTATGGGATGTTGAATTCTATATGGGTATGTGTTTTTGTTTTAACAAGTCCTAATGGGTGTATTCTCTCGTACAATGCCATGAACTGAAATCTACAAATCATGCTGTGTAGATTCAGCAACGTGCTAAATCAAAACCTAACAAATACCATAGTGGTGATCCCAATTTTTTCTCACTATTCTATCAGTGGTACCATCAATCAGCAGTGTTCATAAGAAACCCATAGTAATGTGAAAATGACAACAGGCAGCAATTACATCACCACAACTACCATAAACCTGTGTTATATGTCTTGTGTAAATACGCAAGACACCTCACTTATATGATGATATCATCATGTTTGCATCATCATTTCCCTCCCCTCCCTGCTCCTCTGAAGGCAACCAATGGCTTCTATGGAACCATCTGAAGCAGTATTTCTTTAAAGTGTGGTTCCCTCAAGATCCTTTCAGGGCTCCTCAAAATCAAAATGATATCCCAGCCTATACTGAAAAATAATTCAATACTAAAATCTCACTCAACAATCGTGAGAAGTGGCTGCAATGGCGAATGTATCCATTTAAAATTTTAATACAGTAAGTATCAATAAATATAACACATACAAAGAAAAGCTATTCTGGAATCTCCCACATGGAGAGTAAGCACTTTTTTTGTGTAAAGGAATTTTGGGGTAAACTGCCTTGCAGAGCAATAACAATAGAAATGTCACTTACTTACCGGTACTTACTTTATAGTGCTTTACAGCTCTAAGTGGTTTACAGAGTCAGCATATTGCCCCCAACAATTTGGGTCCTCATTTTACCCACCTCGGAAGGATGGAAGGCTGAGTCAACCTTGAATCTGGCGGGATTTGAACAGCCGATAGTCAGCAGAAGTGGCCTACAGTACAATACAATACATTGTGCCACCGAGATATTAGTAAGTCCCAGCAGTAAATTGGGATAGTGGGTAGAGTCAGGAAGCCTTGGAAAACATGCTTTGATAGCAGGGGTACCATGCATAATTCCACATGTTGGGCATCTTAGTTTGAAGTAAGGTAATAATATAAGCCAGTTTGGTCTAGTGGTCAGGCTAGGAACCAGGAGATTGTGAGTTCTAGTCCAATTTAGGAATGAAAGCCAGCTGAGTGACTTTGAATCAGTCACTTTCTCTCAGCCCAATTCACCTCACAGGATTGTTGTGAGGAAAATATGCAGACAAAGGAGTATTAAATATGTTTGCCACCATGAGTTATTTATAAAAATAATGATGTGAAATAAATAAAATTTTAAAAAGTAGCTAAATATACTTGGTGTCTCAAAAAAACCCCTCAAACAATTTTTTGTCATGCTAGCATTGTGAACCTGATGGAACCTGGAGTAGTAAGAGTAATGTGATTTTTATGAGCAAAATGGATTATTTGTGGTTGAGAAAATGGTGAAATAAGGACCCACAAACATAAGACTGAAGACAACATGATGGCAACATGTCACTGATATTTCCCTACCAAATGTATTTCCATACACATTTTGTCTAGAAAGGCCTGTAAATTTGAAATCTAATCGATTTTTCATCTAACCACGGCAGATGGCACTGTTTCACATTTCTCAACTCCTTCTCGCACTGTGCAATTGTACATGAAAATCAGTTTCAGGAGTGAAGTGGATTTCCTTGAGCAGAAGGTTTGGTTGTGATTAAGATACAAGATGGAAGAGAATCATTTGAAATGTAATAAGCTTTTCTAAGTCCCTAGGTTTATTTAAAACTTAAATAAAACTAAGGAAAATACAAAACTTAATTTTCTCCCAGTTTTGAACAGGAATTCTTCTTGGGTTATTGTATGTGTTGTTTATAGCATTAGAAATAGAAATAGCATTTACGCTTATATACCACCTCATAGTTCTCTGCAGCACTCTCTGGGTGGTTTACAATGAAAAAGCATTATTTGTATATAGCTCTCAACAATTTCCGTCCTCATTTTACCTTAGATCTTAGAATAGTGGAAGACTAAGTCAACCTTGAGCCCTGTCAAGATCAAACTCCAGGCTGTGGGCAGAGGTAGCCTGCCATACTGCACTTTAACCACTGTGCCACCAGGAGTTATAATTATCAGGAAGAAGAGTAGCATTGCTGTTGAAGGAACCTGGACCTGGACCAGAGGTGGTATTCAGCACGTTCTGACCAGTTCTGGAGAACCGGTAGCAGAAATTTTGAGTAATTCATAGAACCAGCAAATATCACCTCTGATTGGCCCCGCCCCCATCTATTCTCTGCCTCCCGAATCCCAGCTGATTGGCTGGGTCTTCTTTCATTGCCCTTCACAGGAAAACAGAGCTGGAAATCAGGTTAGTCAGGTGGGGAGGGATTGGGGATTTTGCAGTAACCTTCCCCTGGAGTGGAGATTTTGCAGTATCCTTCCCCTGCCATGCCCACAAAGCCATTCTCACCAAGTCACACCCACAGAACTGGTAGTAAATTTTTTTGAATCCCACCACTGGCCTGGACTTTGTCCTCTTCAGTGTACTGACAAAGTTTGTCCATGGAGGAATACCACAAAGACCCATTCAAATGGAAACCTGTGGGCAAACAGCAGCTTTGCTATAGGGTTTTTCCACACTACAACCCTTCTGCCCTTTTCTGCCCTCCCCACTCCCCCGGTCCTTTGAAGAACATCCTCCTGAGACCAGGATACCCCCAAATCCTCCCGACTTTTACAAAATAAAGCCCTATTAAAAAAAAAAGGCCTGGGATGCTTTGTGACCATGCAGATGAAATGGGATGTACGAATTTGAGTGGGATGGGATGGACATTTTCCTTGGTATGTTGTTTCTTTTCTTTTTTTAAAATAAATTTTATTAAGTTTCCAAATTTTAAAAACATAAAATAAAACTTTATACATTGTTATCAACATCAAGACATCTTTTGCATCTCCCCACATTTTTCAGTATATGTATTTACTTATTCCTTTACCATTACATTTTACTCTTACTATACATCAATATCTTTTATCCTTACATCTCAATCTTTTCCATGGTATATTTACATATCTACATATTTCCTCATTCTTTTCCTAATTGCCAATTTATTTTCTTTTTATTTCTAAACCACTCATACCAGGCCCTATAATAAATTGACTCTTCTCTGTCTTTTATTTCCATTGTTAGCCTGACTGGTATGTTGTTTCATTCTGCTGTCATGATCATTCATTTTCTTGTTTAGTTGTTTAATGTGGGTCAGCTTTAGAGAAAACCCATCTCCAAGGTGCCACCAAATTATCTGGAGCTTGTTAGTCCTGGCACATTATCTTATGGGCAGGAATAGAATAGAATAGAATAGAATAGAATAGAATAACAGAGTTGGAAGGGACCTTTGAGGTCTTCTAGTCCAACCCCCTGATCAAGCAGGAAACCCTACACCACTTCAGACAAATGGTTATCCAACATCTCTTTAAAAACTTCTATTGTTGGAGCATTCACAACTTCTGGAGGCAAGTTGTTCCACTGATTAATTAATTAATTGGTTAATTGTTTTGTCAGGAAATTTCTTCTTAGTTGAAGAAAGTCAGTCTTAAAGATACTCAGGCCTTGAGCCATGAACTGGTTTGTATGTTTATAATGGTGGTGAGCTGCTGAGTTGCTTTTCCTGCTATATCGTTGACTCCTTTATTCAAGCAGGTTTCCTTCTCCCCACTTTTGCTGTTTCTGCCATGAGAGTTCCTGCTTGCAGCTGGTCGTCTCCTCTTTCATGGAAACCTTGAAACTGCAAGAAGAAGCTGAAAAGTGTCTCAGTGTTAAATCCTTGACAATTGCATTATGTGATTGCTGCCCAGAGAATAGGTCAGCTGAAAAGATGATGAGATCTTCTCCCCTGTCGAGAAATGCCAAACAGTCACCCTGCAATTCAGTTACCTGCTTGCCTTTTGGTGTTGTAGATATTATTCAGCTTTCATCACAGTGAAGAAATGCCTGTTCTTTCCAAGGTTGCTTTTGGAAAAATTGCCTTTGGAGAGGCGGGATCAATGAGGCTGTACTTTGATGGATCACATTTCTTTTCAAACGTTGACACGTTTATTAGAGTTTTATTTCTTTACAGGATTGGCTTGAATGGTGTCAAAACTAAAAATGTGCCAGAATATGCAGATAAATCACAATAAAATGATTGCCTGAGGAGACAACCAGAAAAGAAAAAATTTATGAAGAAGAAAAGGCATAAAAATGTCTTAAGATGAAGGGGAGATTACATATGTTCCTTTTGTAAATCAGAGGTGAGAATTTTTGGTGCATCGAAGTTGCTGACATACTGTCTTTCATAAGATGAAATTAAGTAAAGAGAATGATAAATACTGTCTTCTTAGATCAGGCAAGTTCATCTCTTTTATTTTCATTTTTTTCTACGTACGGGAATCAGATTAAATTATGTATTGCTTAGTCATGGGTTATTACATAATGTATTATTGGTTTCATTCACTTAATTTACCAAGACAAACTATAGTTAACCTGCCACCCCGAGAGGATTCATCAGGCAAGCTACCTTGTTGCTTCTCATGGTGTATGAGCCACATCAGTGTTACTAAAGGTCTGAATTGGGAACTTTGCTGCTTGGAGCTTGAAACTTCATTAATAAGGCATTTTTGCTCCAGATGCACATTTAGTGATGTTGTGCAGATTTTGGTTCCTAAAATTGGTGGTGGTGGTATGAAACAAATTTGGATCCTTTGTCCAAACTTCTATGTTCAACAGAGGTTGTATTTTTTCCTATCTCTGTGGTCCATTGACAGAAGAACATACTCTGGACTTAGCTTTGTGGTTGACCTATTGCTAACTTGAAGACCATCTACCAATGGCCTTTTTGGACAGCAGAAAACTCTACAGACTTGAAATCAGCTGTCCCATTGCTGGTCCCTTTTTGCTTCAATTTCAGAGGTGGTATTCAGCAGGTTCTGACCAGTTCTGGAGAACCGGTAGTGGAAATTTTGAGTAGTTCAGAGAACCAGCAAATACCACCTCTGACTGGAGATTTTACAGTATCCTTTCCTTCCACGCCCACCAATCCACACTTACAGAGCCGGTAGTAAAATTTTTTTGAATCCCACCACTGTTCAATTTCCTGCCAATGCCAGCCCTCCAAAGCGTTCCTCTAAGGCAGGGGTCCGCAAACTTGGCAACTTTAGGACTTGTGGACTTCAACTCCCAGAATTCTCCAACCAGAATAGCTGAAGTGCACAACTCTTAAAGTTGCCAAGTTTGGGGACCCCCTGCTCTAAGGTAATAAAGAACAACAGATTTTATATATCTTGGAAGTGTTCTTGGACTTTGTAAAAATCAGGTAGCTGGGTGAGAATCTAGACCTGATTATTTCTCAGGAACATCCACTATGGGCCAGTAGAAATTAGAAATGTTCTTAATAACTCTTTAAGATCATGGGGATTATAATGACTGAGTTGATTGATGAAGGTGGGGAGGGAAAAATGAATATATCTAATAATCAGAATCTGAGATTGTGGTTTTTGCCTATGTAACTAAGATTAACTCAGGAATCCAACAAAGGTCAGATGTTAAAGGTGACATCATGTGATGGGGTCAAATTATGTTTTGATTTGGTTCAGTAGCAGCTCCTGCTAATAGAAAACAAGGAAACTCCCACATCTATCAAGCAGTTTTAACTGGGGTGGGAAGCAAAATCAGAAATCTTTCCTCTCCTAGTAACTAAGATCTATTGGATTCCTTTGATGCACCGCTGGATGCAACTCCTTGCTCCAAAATAGACCATTTTGTCACCATTCCCCTTTCCCACTGTTGTTTAAAGGCTAAATTTTCAGGCTGATATCAACAGTCATCAGTCCCCTTTCACAGGAATTTGAGGTGCACAGGGCTTGTTTAGATACCGATTGCTCCTCTTCTCAAGGAGGAAACCGAGAAGAAAGCCAGGTCAGAGGAGAACTAGGCACAGCTCTGTGAGTTAAGAGGCGGTTCAGCCCCAGAATTCTCCCACTAATTCAAACCACCAGAAGGCAAGACAAGAAGCAATGGATGGAAACTAATCAAAGAGGGAAGCAACCTGGAATTAAAGGAGAAACTTCCTAATAATGAAGGCAATTAACCAGTGGAACAGCTTGCCTTCAAAAATTGTGGGTGCTTCATCACTGGAAGATTCTAAAAAGAGACTGGACAGCCATTTGTCTGAAATGGTGTAGGGTCTCCTGCTTGAGCAAGGGTCAAGACCCCTTCCAACTCTGTTGTTCAGTCCTGTTGTTCTGTTCTGTTCTGTTTTTGGTGTGGGACTGAGCCTGGCCTGAAATATCAAGGAATGGCAGTGCTCATAAGATGACACCCCTTGTGGAGAGGGATGTGTGCGTGTCACAGAATGGAAAAAGCAGTCCATGAACAACAAGAACAAGATCCCCCAAGGTGCGGTGTCATAATTATCTCTCTCCACTCCTTTTTATTTGCATCCTGGCCAAGCGGTGATCTCTGTTTACCGAAGCTGACCAGCAGAGGGTGCTCTTCCCTCGCTTCTGCTTCATATTGCTCTATCTCGGTGTAATATATCCAGTCCTTCTCCAGCTTCACAAGTCACTTTGTGCTACGCCGCCACCGCTGTCCTACAAAGGTGCCCTTTCCAATATCTCACTCCCACTGCCAACAGGAGACTTTCAATTAAACCTAGCTCAGGTCGGCTCTGACAAGAAGCCTGCCTCTTAAATTGTGAAGGTTATCTATCAGCTAGTGTAGTCTGAAATGCAGCTAAAGGAAGATAGGGGTGAGAAAGCCTTGTGGCATGATGTGATTCACACGCTCTCTTGCTTTCTCTCTCTTAGTTGATTGCTTTCTCATCATCCTTACGTGCACATGTAACGTATTGATTACCACCGGTACGTCAAATGAACGCTTCAGACTGTCTTTTGTAAGTGTCTCATTCATCATTATTAGGGAATTTCCAGAAAGGCTGTTAAGGCATTCGGTATTTAATTATATGAAGAAATTGCAATTTTTCTCTCTTCCAACTTACAAAATAAAGGAATTGAGGATCATTTTAAACATTGTCCCTTTCCTTCATACCTACAGAATAAGACACAAGAAACAGCCAAATGAAGACCGCAGTGATAAAAAATATTATTTGATTTAGGAAACAAGTCATATCTCATCCTATTGTGTTTTTTTGCTCTACCACCTAATTTGCATGCAGCCAGCCCCTAAAAAGTTTTTATATATATATATATATATATATATATATATATATATATATATATATGTATATGTATATGTATATGTATAAAGTTTTCGTGGGTACTTACATGTATGGCATTCATCTTTGTTTGGGTATTTTCCCATGTCATTGTAGTTGTGCTTTTAAAGATGTAGCAACGTTTCAGCAGAATCTCATCTGCCATCAGATGAGATCCGGCTTCTGTATAGTGTTCGTCTGAATCCAGATGAACACTATACAGAAGCCTGATGATGGCAGATGAGATTCTGCCGAAACGTTGCTACAACTTTAAAAGCACAACTACAGTGACGTGGGAAAATATCCAAACAAAGCTGAATGCCATACATACATACATACATACATACATACATACATATTCTGAGGTTCTCGCGGGTATTAGTATGTGGATCTTTGGTTATTCGGGTTTTCTCCCGCGTAAGATTGGAAGTATCTAGGCTATAAAATCCTTAGAGTCAAGTTTGATTTTTTGTTATGTCCTGCAAACAATTTAGAAGCTGCTTTCCATTTTGTACCTCCAAGACTTTTTTGGGGTGTGTATGTCTATGTGTGTGTGTAAATTTCCAGCTTACTAGACCTCAGGAAGGACACTGGGTTCAAAGTTTCCTGTTTCTGAGCTGCATAAATCCAGACACACACTAAATGGTAGCAAAGACATTAAACCTTTGCTGCCATCTAGTGGCAAATCTAGTAGATTTACCTCTGTCTGTCCCTTTCCCGTTGTGCAGGTTTTCTTCTGAAGTCACTGGGAAATGATTTGGATTAAGGTTTTAGCTATGAAGTTCCTTGTGTAGTGGGCAATTTTTGAACTAGTATCCATAGTGCCCTAAGTTATGATATGCTTAACCATGGTTTCATGAAGAAACCACAGTTGGTTTGGTTTGAATTATACAGTAAGCCACAGTTTATGATTCATTGACAAATTACAATCCCTAGCTTCAAACAACACTGTCAATCAAAACCAACAGCATTATGGGCCACATCTGAAGTATCAGCTGTAGTTGGCATTTGAAGTCCACGAATGAAGTCAGCTCTAGATGCATCGAGGTAATTTTGTCTCTTAATATGTCATGAAATCGAGCAGATCAGGGCCTCATTTGCTGCACAGGGTAGTCCTTGAATTACAGCCATTTGGTTAGTAACCATTTGAAGTTACAGTGGTACTGCAAAAAGCGATGTAGGACTGTTTTTCACACTTAGGACTATTGCAGCACCCCTGGGGTCAAAACTCCGGGGACTTGGCAACTGGCATGTATTTATGATAGTTGTGCACTGTCCTGGGGTTATGTGATCACCATTTGTAACCTTCCCAGCCAGTTCCAACAAGCAGAATCAATGGAGGAAACCAGATTTGCTTAATGACTGCAGGATTCACTTAACAATTGCAGTGATTCGTTTTAACAACAGTGGCAAAAGGTTGTAAAAATGGAAAAATGCCTTTTCACTCCTTTCCTCAGCTCAGCACCAGATTCTACCACAGCAAGTGTTGATTGTTGACATAACTGTCCTCTTTGCCCTGAGAAATTCTTGACTCTCAGCAGTCACAGTTTATATGGGGAATTAGCTGAGGTCACACAATCTGTCCCACCTCGCCCCATAGCCTGGCGGATATTTTTGTGTGTGTGGAGGAACTTTGCTGGTGGCCATCTCCTGTACAGACGCAGCTGCTAGCCTGTATCAGCCAGATGGCTTATTTAACATGGACAAAAGTCGTTAATGAGCTCAGTTTGCCAGGACAGAATAAAAAAGTCCAAAGTCTGTGATGTGATCCTTCATTTAAAAGGTTGAAAAGATTATGAAGTGATTGTGAGGGTATCTTGTCTATAGTCAGAGAGAACAATGGAATTGAATGGAGTACAGCATCATCATTGGGTTTGCTTATTTTCTGCTCAAGTGTTTGCTTTTTAAAAACCGATTGGGTTGTGAACTGAACATTTCTACTGTTCGTATTTCAAAGCAGCCTCCTCCAACTGCAATCTGGATACATCTTATCAGGCTGGGAAAGTCTGTTCCACAGGGTGCATTGAAAGATCTGAACTA